AATTTGGTTTCTCCCTCAAAAAAATTAAATTATATTAGACAAAAAAAAATTCAAAAAACAAGCCCATTAACCAGACTTGAAAAGGACACTTTTGCGCCTCTTCAAAACCTCTTTTTCTCTATTTTTTCCCTTCATTCATTGTTTTTCATCCTTTATTCCACTCATTTGCATGCTTCCCAAAGACAATTTCTCGTTATTTTCCGTAAATAGCTAATTTTTGAAGGAGTTACGGATGAATGAGCCAAGTTTTAACCTTTTTTTTCCAACGGAATTTTCTTTTTTCGTGGTTCTGAGCCATTCCCAATGCGACCACGGCGTCTCAAACTGAAATTTGATCTAGATAGATGGTTTTTCCTGTTTCTTCGCCACTAGAAATGTCGCAAAAAAACTTAAAAAAATTTTTTTAAAAATTTTTTTAAAAAAATATTTTTTTCAACAGAAAAAAATGAGCAGGTTACTGTAAAATTTCCGAATTTCGTGACGAAATCTTTTTATTTTTTTGAGAAAAAAAGTGGGTTTTTAAGGTAATGCCTGATCAACTGTCGAAATTTTTACGATTTTCCTTATTATTATTTTTTTGAAACAGTAACTTCATTTAAGACTTGATTTTCTGAGCAAAAAAATAATATTTTATGGATTTTTTTATCGATTTTTTTTCGTAAAATATTTCATTTCATAATTGAAAAAAACACATTTTCAGCGTTTCTTGGCCTTTTTTTGAAGCAATGTGATGACCCAAATGACGGCTCAAATCGTCATTTTCTTCGCCGTATTTTTCAGGTTTTTTTCAAATTTTATTCTTCCAACTAGATTTTTTTGAAACTGTTTTTTTCTTCTGAAGAGAAAAAAGAGAAAATTTAGGTTATTATAGTGATTTTGAGTGGAAATGGAAAAATAGAGCTGCAAAAATGGACTTTGAGCCTTTGCGCTCCATGGATAATTTCAGCTGTCTGGGTGAAAAAATGTTGAAAAATATTGAGATCTTGTTTAAATTGTCTGGATAGGATAAAGATATGTTAAAACTTCGAAAAATCGACATAAAGTTGATTTTCTTGTGAAAAGTTCGTTGAAACAGGAGAGTGATGAATGAATAATTTTTTTAATCGTCATTTTTTTTTGTATTTTCTTAGTTTTTCCAACTGAAAATAGCCTTTTATGTATTGTTTCTCTGTGTTTTTTTTTGTGAGAGTAGGGGGTTTCAAAAAATCTTCATTTTATTAGATAATCCGGGAAGATTTTACTCAAAAATCATCTCTATTTTTAATTTAATTCGGAAAAATATTTTTCCGACCCTTTTTTGAGCTCTCCCCAAGCCCCGCAAAAGTGTTGGGATCTCCGAAAAAAAGGCCTTTTCTCTGAACTTTTCTCACATTTTTTTGAGTTTTGACGCTCAAGTAGTGCTTCTTGAGAAGGTTTTCAGATGAGAAAATGTGGGTTTTAATAGTAAATTTGAGTGGAAAAATGAGCTGTGAAAAATGAACGTTTCTAAATTTTTGCGCTCCATGGCTAATTTTCAGCTTTTGCGCTCCATGGATAAATTTCCGCTTCTTTTTCGGCCAGTTTTTGCGCTCCACTGACAATTTTGAGCCATTTTTCATCCAGTTTTTGCGCTCCATGGCTAATTTTTTTCTATTTCTGCGCTCCACTGATAAATTTAGTTTTATTCAAAAAAATTTTTTTTTGAAAAAAATCTATAATCTTGTCTGGAATATAAATTGTAGGTGGAGACTGATTAAAAGAACTTTCTTTCATTTTTCCGAAAAAAATCCCGAAAAATCTCGCCTAAAAAAATAGAAAAAAGCCCAAAAATCAGATTTTGTCATTGGAGCGAAATTTTACTGAATTTTCAGCCATTGGCTTAAAAATCAGGTTTTTTCAACTGAAATCGGTTTTTTAACCGAATTTCCCTTAGAAAATTCAGTTTTCGATTTTCTTTCCGACCAATTTCATCTGAACTTCATGGGAGAAACTTCAAGAAGCTTTTTTTAAAACCTTTTCCGGCCCATTTCTTGTTTTTTTATTAAATAAGTAGGCACTTGAGTAAAGTGATTTTTTTTTTTTCAGAAAAATGAGGCGAAAAATTATTTTTTCAAGTCAATAAAAATTCAGGTCTCGCTTTAGCAGTATTGAATAATAAATGGAAAATTTATTTATGAACGGTTTGAAACGTTAAAGTCACTTTTCAGCCTTTTTTCTAGCGAAATTGAGGTTTTTTCTTTTTATATGCTTCCACTTTTTCGAATATTCTGGCCGCATTTGGAATGGCTCAACGCGTTGCGGTTCAACCAGGACTTCTTGGACTTGATATCGAGTCGTTTTTGGTCGGGTGCATCGCGTTGAGCCATCCCAAACGCGACCAAATTTGATCCAAAACGACTAAAATGAATAAATTGAGGTCTGGCTTCATAAAAACAAGTGAAAAACCTATTTATAGAGTTTCTGAAGATGTAATTGAGAATAAATTGGACTTCCGGTGATTTTTCACTCTGAAACGGGAGTGTGAATTATAAGAAGCTCCTATTTTCTTCCTTTTACGGCTCATAACTTTTTCCGCTTGGAATTGTACCACTTTCAATCGAAAAAGTCATTTTTTCCTTCTTCTTGCAAAAATTTTATAGACAAGTTCAATGGAGAAATCAAAATTTGAAAAAAATGCCTTATTTATTGCGGTTTTTTTGGGAATTTTTTTCAGTTTTTTTCTTGTTATTTTCTTTCTGGAAATTGAAAAAAATTGTAGTGTTTCACAGCGGGATTTTAGATTTAAGTTGTAAAAAAAGAAAAAATTGGATTTTTTTAAAAATTTTTTTGGGACTTTTTTTCAGATTTTTCCTCTTGATATGATCCCTGTTTCAAGCTTTCCAGGGTTATCGATATTTTATAATTTATCCTGGAAGGTTGGATACGAGAAAAAATTGAACTTATATAGCAATATTTCAGTAGTTTCTCCTCAAAAAAGAGAAAAATCTTGCCTTTTTTCGACTTTTTTTTGACTTTTTCAGCTTTTCCTCTTTATATGATCCCTGTTTCAAGCCTCCCATTGTCATATTTTACTCTAAATTCATCTTGAAAGGTTGGAAATAAGAAAAAAATGAATGATTTATAGTAGGATTTCATGTACTTTCCTCAGAAAAAAGAGAAAAAATCGCATATTTTTGGGACTTTTTCAGCTTTTCCTCTTCATATGATCCCTGTTTCAAGCCTCCCAGGGTCATATATTTTTGTAATCTAGCCGGAATGAACTAAAAGTGAGAAAAATCAAATTTCCGTACAGGATTATGATGTTCCTTCTCAAAAATTAGAAAAAAAAGCATTTTTTTGAAGTTTTCAGCTTTTCCTCTTCATATGATGCCCGTTTCAAGCCTCACAGGGTCATAATATATTTTATAATTTATCCTGGAAGGTTGGAAAGAAGGAAAATTAGTGGTTTATAGTAGGATTTCGGATACTTTCCTCAGAAAACGAGAAAAAATCGCATCTTTTTGGGACTTTTTCAGTTTTCCACTTTATATGATCCCTGTTTCAAGCCTTCCAGGGCCATATATATTTTATTATTCATCCTGGAAGGTTGGAAACGAGAAAAAATTGAACTTATATAGCAATGTTTCAGTAGTTTCTCCTCAAAAAAGAGAAGAATCTCGCCTTTTTTTCGATTTTTTGGGATTTTTTCAGCTTTTCCTCTTCATATGATCCCTGTTTCAAGCCTCCCAGGCTCATATTTTTCCATTTTCCGCATGAAAGGTTAACGAAAAAAGACACTAGACTTGTGTGTGTATGGCGGCGGCGAGGGGATCCTCCCAGTTGATAATCGGCCTCCGGAGAATTGCCCCCCGAAAATCGCCCGACTTTTGCCTCCTTCCCCCTTGGAAATTGAAGAAAAATGAACATGGAGAAAATCGCCCCTTCAGGATAAAAAAAAAACAAAAAACATGTTCCCTATTTTTGCGGGGAAAAATAGTGGGCGTGGCTTTTGGCGCCAAATGGGCGGAGCCTAATCTGCCGCCTTTTTCTCCCTTTTTTCAAGTGTTTTGTTGGAGTTTTTTTTGGAGTTTACGGTTTTCAAATTTATTTACGAGGATTTTTTTTAATTTTAAGCTTTTTCTTGGATTTCGTACATGCTTCGAATCCATTTACGGACGGTAAACTTCATATTTTTGTCCTTTTTTTTGAATTTTTCTTTTTTTTTGTCTCAAATTTAAGATTTTTTTAAGTTTTAAATTTTTCCATTTCCAGAGCAGTTTTATGGTAATATACGGTAGATAAATGGTTAAAAAAATTCATTTCGTGAGATTTTATAACTAAAAAAACATTTTTTTATCTCAAATCTTTATAAAAAAATTCTGTACTCTTCCCAATTTTTAAATCTTTCCGGTTTCAAAAGTTTCCGGGGTTTATTTAGTACCAAATTTTACTCTTCGTAAATCGATTTACGGAATTTGAACTTTTATTTTTTTATCATATGACATTTTAATTATTTTTTTGAGTTTAAAGCCTCAAAATTTAAAAATTTTTTTGACTTTATTAGCTTAAACTTTGGTCACATAACACTATAGGGGTCTCTTCAGCTCCTAATCCCCTCTAGTGACCACTTGGATCTTAAATTCTACCCCCTGACATTTGTAGTATTTTTTTCTATTACCATTTTCCTCAAATATCAATTTTTCTCTAAAGATTCACTAAAGAGACTTCTTGAGACTCTCAAACCCCTCTAGGGACCACTTTTCTGTTGTTTCTTTTTTTTTCTAGTTTATATTCATTGAAAAAATGTAAATTTCCTCTTTTTTTTGTTTTTCTTTTGAAAAAAACCCATATTTTTGCGGTCTCCTCTCATTATCTTTATGAAAGTGTCAATATTTCTTCCGTTCCCGGGAAAAAGAGAGCATTTTTCAGATGAAAACACTAGATTTGATAGGTTTTTTGACTTGGATTGTGGCGGCTGAGGGTCAAAATGAGAAGAACGGTGGGTTTTCAGAAGAATTTTCGGGTTTTGGGACGAATTTATAATGGAACAAGGTCGGAAAAATCTTCTAGTTGTTGAGCAAAAAAAATTCTCTTGGGAGGATTCGAACCTGGGACCTCTCGAGCCATGAACGAGCTTCTTAGCCACTTGACTGTACTTTTCAAAGCTCGATCCTTTCAAAAATAGTCTGGCTGAGTCAAGAAATCTAAAAAGCGATCGGCAATAATTAAATCCCTTGGGAGGATCCGAACCTGAGACCTTTGGAGCTATAACCTAGCTTCTTAGCCACTTGGCTATACGCTTTTAGAGCTTGAAAGTTAAAAAAATCACTCCGACTAAGTCAAGAAAACCAAAAAGCGATCAGCAAAAATTGAATCCCTTAGAAGGATCCGAACCTGGGACCTCTAGAGCCATAGACAAGCCTCCTAGGCACTAGACTATAATTCCTTGGCTATACTCTTCTCCAACCCGTTTTCTAAAATCCCAAAATTCGAAAATAACTTTTTCCTTGGCAGAAACTCCAGTCTAATTGTGTTTCGGGGCTCCCAGACCTTGAATTATTCAACAAAAAGTCACACATAACGGCTAGGTTTCCTCTTCAGAAAAGTTTCTGAAGAAAAAATATTAGTCAGTTTTTTGAAATTTTCAAAGAATGGAGCTAAAATAAGTCTGAAAAAGATTAAAATAGTATAAACTTTAAATTTTTGTACTTGTAATAAAGCAGAGTCTCAAAGAGCCGAAAAGTAAGAAAAATCGTCTCTAACATGAGCAATAAAACCATAGTATGAGCAATTTGAAATTTTCGCTCCGGGTCATGAACTTCGAGGCTCCTTATTCAACCTCAGTATTATATGGAATTTCAAAAAATCAAGCTCAAAAGAACTGAAAAATGGGGAATCTTCCCTAACATGAGCAATAAAACCATAGGATGAGCTATTTGAAGTTTTTTGCTCCGGATCATGAACGTTGACGTTCCTTATTCAACCTCAGTGTTATATGGAATTTCAAAAAATTCAACCAAATTAATCGAAAAATTAGGAAAGCGTCTCTAAAATGAGCAATAAAACCATAGTATAAGCAATTTGAAGTTTTTAACTCCGGGCCATGGGCGTCGACGTACCTTATTCAACGCAGTGCCATATGGAATTTCAAAAAATCCAGCTCAAAATAGCCTAACATGAGCAATAACCCCCTAACATGAAAAATTTGCAGTTGTTTGGAGCGGGGATCATGAACGACGACTTTACGCGAAATTGGCTCAGAACTACGATAAATTGGCGAGGCCCGTCAAAAATGAAAGTCAAGCCGTCGTGGTACAGCTGGGACTCGATTACCAACAAATTTTGGATGTAGTGAGTCGAAAAAATTGTAGAAAAATGTTCAAAAAGTGACTTGGAAAAATGGCATAAATAGTTACGGCGAGGTTGTGAGTCGAACCTGCGACCTTTTAAATGGTAGTTTGAAGCTCTAGAAGCCTTTAAAAGTTGTTTTCAAAATGGCAAAAAAAGGTTTGACGAGAGGCGGAGTCGAACATGTGACCCTTTTAGTGATAAGCAAGGGCTTAACCAGTTTGACCACGGCCTTTTTTTCAAAATTTTCATAGGAACTCTAGGAAAAGCTTCAAAAGAGTCTAAAAAAGATCAAAAAAAATGGCAAAACTAATTTGGCAAGAGGAGGAATCGAACTTGTGACCCTTTTAGTAATGATCAAAAGTTTAACCAGTTTGACTAGGACATTTTTTGCTGATTATAGGATAAAAACTATATGAAAAGCTCCAGAAACATCCAGAAAGACATCAAAAAAATGGCAAAACTAATTTGGCAAGAGGAGGATTCGAACTTGTGACCTTTTTAGTGATAAGCAAGAGCCTAACCAGTTTGACCACGGAGTCAAGAGCGTTCCAATCACAAAAAACTCACATAACTCTCGAATTTCAGGATGAAAAGCACCAAATAATGAACTCCAACGTCTGGTTAAGGATGGTAAGGCTTAAAAAACCTTCAAAATAAGGTAATTTTTGAAATTTTGAAGAGTTGGATCGATCATTATTTGACGTGGGAGCCCAGTGAGTACGGGAATATTCGAGAGGTTTTTTTTAACTTTTAATTGTTAGAAAAACAGTAAGTTCAGGTCCGCCTTCCCATAAATAATATTTGGAAACCGGACGTTTTACTCTATAACAGCGTCGACCAACAGTTTGACAGTACCTGGCCGGTGAATGCCGTCGTTTTGTAGTGAGTTTTTGTCGCATTTGGAATGGCTTAACGCGTCCCGTCGAGCTTAAATGTAGAAGATTGGCGCAAGACGTTTCCGGGTCGGGACAACATTTTTTCACTACCATAACTTGTTTTGTTCTCAACCTTTTTCGAAAAACTGAAGTTTTTTGAATAGAAAATTGGAGCGGCTGTCCAACCATAGTAATATTGAAGCTCGGAAATTTTTTTGAAAATTTGGTCCCTACCTTCGAGCCATTCCCAGTGCGACCATGAACGTTATCCAACTCGAAAATCTGATTAAATACTTGATTTTTTCGGAAAAACTCGAGTTCTTTTGGACGCGTCGCGGTCTTACGCGTCGCTTCCTAATTTTCCCGCCAAAGTTTAAAAATTTTCTTTTTTTCATGTAAGCTGGTTTTTCTTCAATTTTTGAGTTTATTTATCCTTCTAGACTTTTTTTAAATGTAGTATTCTTATTTATTGATCAGAATCTCACAAAGCAGTACCGCGATACAGTACCACCACCTACAGTACCCCGATACAGTACCACCTCTTACAGTACCCAAATACAGTAACAAAATTTCATCACTAAAGTACCACCATCACAGTACTATTAATTACGGTACCACCAGCTGGTATTACTGTATCTTGTAGGACTGTAGTAAGTGGTAATTTAATAAGTGGTACTGTGGTAGGAAGTACGGTAGGAGGCGCTACTCTAATGGTGGTACTGTAGTGATGAAACTGTGGTACTGTATTGCGATCACAAAGCGCTCCCTTAAGGGGCCACTTTAGGGTCTTTCCAAGGGACGGCCTATAGGGGTCACTATAGGGATATAAGTCCTTCCAAACTTTCAAAAAAAAATCAAAAAATCGAAAGACCACTATAGGGATCGCTTAAGCTCTAAGGGCTCAGGGTTCAAACCAGAAACCCCTATAGGGACCACCTAGCCCTGTAGGGAGCACTTTTATGACCCCTATAGGGGATTTTCTCCCTCTAACCCCTCTAGGGACCACTCTGGCGTTCCAAACCAAAAAAACTCGTTTTTTCAGCACGGGAAACGTCTCCTGGATCCCACCGGCGATAATTCGGTCCAGTTGTAGCATTGATATCGCTTATTTTCCTTTCGATACCCAGGTGAGAATAATTTTTGCGCTTCTCAATGTCCCCGGAATGATTTATTGAAGGAATAATAACCAAAAATCAAAAAAAGCTCAAAAAAGACAATTCCTTCCAGCACTGTACCATGAAATTCGGCTCCTGGACGTATTCCGGATTTTTCACGGATTTAATCAACTCTACCGTTTCAGCTGGAACGTATAAACCCAACGGCGAATGGGAATTATTGGGTAATATTGTCATGAATTTATTTTCAGCTCCAAATTCTAAATTTTACCATATGCGTAAGAAAAATGAGAATATTGAGAAAACCGGAAAATTTTTTTTTTGAAAAGTTCAATCACCGTCCTCTTATCAGTAGAGCGCGAAATCCGATTTTTTAGGCGGCTATTTTTTTTCACCTCCTTTTTTCAGTCTTTCGAGCCGATTTTTCATGTTTTTCTTTTTTGAAATGCGATGGAAAATTCAGAAAAATCAGAAAATTCAAATAAACCTTGTTTGTCCATGGAGCGCACAATTTGAAGTCTAGGAGGCTATTTTTTCCTGCCTGTTTTTTTTTACTAACGATGCGATTTTTCATATTTTTTCAATTGAAATCCGATGAAAATCGTGCAAATTCGTTAATAAAGTCCCATTATGTTTTTTATCCAAAGAGCGCACAATCCGAATGTCTAGGAGGTTATTTTTTCCCACCTCCTTTTTTTTACCAAAAATCGGCTCGAAAGACTTTCGAGCCGATTTTTATTGGGAATGGGATGGTGAATTCAGTAAAAAACTTAAATAATAATCCAATAAACCTTGTTTGTCCATGGAGCGCACAATTTAAATTCTGTGTGGCTATTTTTTCCCTCTTTTTTTTTCAAATTTTCACTCCATTTTTCAGGCCTTACATCCCAACGGTCGATTTTCTACTACGAATGCTGCCCCGAGCCGTATTATGACGTCACTTTCACCGTATCCATCCGCCGGCGAACCCTCTATTACGGGTTGGTTCTACTCCCGTCCCCGTTTTTGCCATTTTTCCTATTTTTCAGTTTCAATTTATTGCTTCCCTGTATGTTGATTTCCTGCCTGGCGTTGCTCAGCTTCACGTTGCCGGCTGATTGCGGCGAAAAACTCAATTTGGGTTGGTTTTTTTTTGTGGTCGCATTTGGAATGGCTCAAAGTTTGAACGAAGCTCGATTTCCATCTTTTTCTCAATTTTTTCGCGAAAAGAAAAAAAATTTTTATCATCAAATCTTGTACGAGAAACTGCAACTTCATTTAAAGTTTGATGATTTTATGGATTTTTTTTTCCGATATTGAGGGCGTCAGAGTGGTCCCTAAAGGGGTTAGGAGGGAAAATAGGTTCACCCGAGGACAAAAAGTGATCCCTTCAGGCTTTTTGGGTCTATAAAGCTGCAGTGGCCCCTAGAAGGAAAATTCGATGGCGCCCTCTAGTGATCACTCCCAAAAAATGCTGCTGAATCTAAAAATTACCATGTTTTTCTTTTTTAACATCTCAAAAATGCTAATGAATACACTATTTTCTATTTTTCCAGGAGTCACGATTTTCATGTCCCTCTGCGTTTTCATGATAATGGTGGCCGAGGCGATGCCCCAGACCAGTGATGCTCTTCCATTGATCCGTTAGTTTAAATATTGATTTTTTTTTTTTTCAACCGTGGTCGCTTTGGGAATGGCTCGACGCGGAAAAAAATTCTCATTTTTTTAAAAAAATTTTAAAAAAATTCCCTATTAGATCAACTTACCGTTTCTAATCACTTAAATAAATTTTTTTGCGCCCGTCTGGAAAACGACTTACGCGTGATAAAAAAATAAGATAGAAAAAGAATTTTTTTCGAGTTTTAACGCCTTCGAACAGAAAAAAATAGAAATTTCGACAGAAAAATAGTGAATTTTCCAAGTAAGGTCCTGAGAAGAAAATTACCGTAACCCATGATTTTTTGAAACGAAATGGAAAATTGGATCGGATCACCGTTTCGCCGATAGTTTATAAAAAAATAAGTTCTTTTTCCTCGGTTTCACTGACCTTGTTCCCACTCAAATGTTCCCAAAAAAATTGATATTTTTTTCGCAAAAAAATTTATTTCTGAACTCCTATGATCACCGTTTCAGTCTCAGTTTTTGATAAATCGATTTTTTCACAATTTTCCGTGAAATATGTTTTCTTTTTTTCCTTTTGATAACCGTATCAACTCCAGTTTTTTAGTGTCCGGTTGATTTTTTGGATTTTCACGATCTCCTAATTCGAAATTCCTTAAAAAAACTAACTTTTTTTTTCGTAAAATTTCTTTTTCCAGAAATCTACTTCTCCTGTATCATGTTCGAAGTGGGAGCATCTGTGGTGGCTACCGTAATCGCTCTGAATTTTCATCATAGATCCCCGGAAAGTTACCGGCCGATGAACAAATATGTAAGTTTTTTTCGAATCAAAAAGAAAAAAAATATTTTCGAATTATCCATCATTGCTGTTTCATTATTGAAATATAAACCTAACATTCAAATTTACAAATAATTACTAGGAAAAATATTAGGAAACTCTGACTTCTCTGCGCCCTCTCTTATCTATACGCTGTTTCCAAGGTTCTCTAACCTCACCGGTGAGAGAGAAGAGAGCGCAGACAGGTTAGAAGGCGGTTTCAAACGAAAATCCTTCGAAAAATTCTAATTTCTCTGCGCCCTCTCTTATCTTCATGCTATTTCCATGGCTCTCTGGTCTCACCGGTGAGAGAGAAGAGGGCGCAGACAGGTCAGAGACTTTCGAATCATAGCGAATGATTAAAAAATTTGAAATTTTAGATGAAAACCGTGCTACTGTATTGGCTACCGTCTCTGCTTGGAATGGAAAGGCCCGAAATCCTCGAAATGACGCTTCAAAATACGCATTGTGTCGATCCAAGGAAGTGAGTTTGAGAGAAATTAATAAGAAAAAAATGACGTCATTATGAGAAGAATGACGTCATCACTTGACCGCTACGCGAGCCGCGACGCGTCTCTAAATTTTCTTGTTTTGGAATTTTGAATTGTGAGCCATCTAGAGTTATTGTGTGGGCTCGGGAAAACGACGTTTTGGAAAAAAAAATGAGAAAATAACGTCATTTTCAAGAAAAACGAAAAATGACGTCATCACTAGACCGCTACGCGGGCCGCGACGCGTCTCTAAATTTTCTTGTTTTTTTGGAAATTTGAAAAAAATTTTTTTGAAAATATCCAAGATCTCAAAAATATCCAAGAAAAATTATCAAAAAAAGTCAAAAAAATGACGTCATCACTCGGCCGCTATGCGAGCCGCGACGCGTCTCTTTCTCAAATTTTATAAATTTTTTTCCGAAAAAAATGAAAAATTGTAGAATCCCTGCATTGGGAAACGGAAAATGCCTTTCTTTCGCAAAAAATTCAGAAAATGACGTCATTGTAGAAAGAATGACGTCACCACTGAACCGTCACGCGAGCCGCGACGCGTCTGTTTTTTTGAATTCTGAGAAGAGAACCGTGTAAAAACTACTGTGTAAGCTCAGAAAAAGCTCAGTAATAAAGTCCTTTTCGTGTCAAAAAAAGAGCCAAAAAATGACGTAATTACGTAGTAAATAATTAAATGACGTCATAAATTAACCGCTGCGCGAGCCGCGATGCGACTCTTTCTCAACTTTTTTTTTCATAAAATGGGAAAAGTATGATAATGACGTAATGAAACCAGCCGCGACGCGCCTTAATTTTTAAATTTTTTCAAAAAATCCTACTAAAACCTTTAATTCGTACGGCTGCGAAAAACCGTCCGCACTTTACAGAAAACACAAACAATATCTGGTGGAAGTGGAACAACACTTCCTCGCCAAACCGACACTCCATCACGTGAATGCCTGTTCACTAGACCGGGCCGTTCACCTGGATTTGTCCAATTCAGGTGATTTTGGCCGCATTTGGAATGGCTTGACCGCTGCGCGGCCGCGACGCGTTCCTTCCTAAGTTTTCAAAATCCTACACTATCATATGCATTTTTTCACGCTGATCTCGAATCTGAGCTCAGATTTCGTCTAGGAGCCTTGCGAATAGAACTATGAGGTTTTGAAATTAAAATTATCGATTTTTCTTGTATTTTATGTTTTTAATGGTAGCTGGCCCAGAAGAAAAAAAAGAAGAGCTTTTATTTTTGATTTTGAAAAATTAAATCAGTTTTTATTATATGAAGCCATTCCCTACGGGTTACGGTAGCCTGAGCATCTAAACAATTTTGGGAAGTTTTTTGGTGAAATGTATATCAATCGATAGCTTATTTAATTTAAAGTACAATAATTTGAAGATTACTGTGGAAATTTTTTTCGGGTTTACGGTACTTTTTCGTTTTTGAAGCCCTTTTTGAGTGATTTTTTTCTTAATTTTTTTCTCAAATGCTTTTTGGGATTTTCAAAAACTTTTTTTTTTGAAATCTGCGTGTAAAATTGATACTATGAAACAAGAAAAACTAAAAAAAAATTCAGATTTCAAAATTTTCAGTAAAAAGCAACGAAACGAAGCCATCCGTGAAGCTTTCAACGACGGAAAATGGCGATTTGACGTCATCAATCAATAAATATACGTGTACAAAAATTATGGTTTGTAGGAATCCTTCATTTTTTCTCATACTAAAATGCACAGAAACCTGTCGAAAATGGGTACAAAAAGCCGGGCGAAGACCGACATTTCCACCATATCATCAACGAATTGAGGGTCATCTCTTCAAGGGTTCGAAAGGAGGTTTGAAAAGGGTCGCATTTGGAATGGGTCGTGGAAGTGATCGTGAAAATGGGATTACTGTTTCGAGACATCTATATGAACAAATAGGCAGAACAATTTATCTTTTACTAATTTTTTTCAATAAACTTCTGATGGATTTGGCTCCCTAAATTTAAATGTATGCTTAGGAATAACAAAAATCCCTTAAATTTGGAAGATTTCTTAATATTTCGAAATTTTCTCGAAAAGACGAGCACTTTGTTGCAGGAAGCGATGCACGCCCTGCAGGCGGATTGGATGTTCGCCGCGAGGGTCGTCGACCGAATCTGTTTCCTCGTTTTCTCCCTTTTCCTCTTTCTCTGTACCCTTATTCTATCCTACAATGCACCACATATCTTTGTATGATAGTTTACTGTACCATAGAGATCATGCTAAATTTTTGATTCATTGAAAAGAAATTAATCAATCATTCAAACGCTCTCATTGCATTTCAATGAAGCGGAAAAAGGAAAAAGAGGAAAATTTTGAACGATTCTATTTCATTCGAAAGCTGACGACGAGACGAATCGACTGATACGATTAAAAAAGCTGTAACTGATCTGGGAGTCGAGTTATGACATAAAATATGAATACAAAGTCAGGTCGGTTGAATGATGATAGAAATAACGAAAAAAGAAATCAATTACACACTTTTGACTCGTTCAAAATACATTTTCAAGTCGTTCCGCTCCCCAAAAAAGAATTCCAAGAAGTTTTGAACTAATATGAACTCTAGTTACTTTCACAAAATTTTTCAACAAAAAAAATCCCTTGTTAAAAAATCTGTGAACAAACAGAGCTTGAAACCTTCGCAATGCAGTGATAAACAAATGATGAAATCACTGCATGATGAGAAAAATTGTAAAAACCAGAGTAACTTAATAAACACAATGAAAATACAATAAAGGATCAAAAAATTAAAAAAAAAAGATCATAAGGAAAGTTTTCGTAAATCTACAAGAGCTGCGCGTAAAATAAAATGTGATTTCCGCAATGACGCGGTGCTCACGGCCGAGCTTAATACTGTGTCCTAGGAAAACGAATAATTCGGAATTTCACGATTACAAAATAAAATTGCACGATTACTCCGTCAAAAATGAAGAACTTGAATATTTCTTTTCGTTTCTCCGGTAGCTTCAGGTTTGCCTCATCTCTGCCCTTTCGGTGTGCAAAAAGAAAAAAAACAATTTCAATAACTTTATTAGAATTTTCACGAACATCTCTTCATTTGAATGAATAAATAAGGTGTCAATATGAACCAAAATTGTCAGGAAAAATGAGAAAAAGATTGAATCGAGGAATTTATAATCTCTTCACAATAACTATTTACATTTTTGGTAGGGAAAGTGTACAGTTTGAGGTGGATTTTTTGGTTTCAAAGCTATCAGATTGGTAGAGATACCCATTTGGAGATTCCTAAGAACAAAAATAGGATAGTGGCAAGGAAAAAAGGAGATTTTCAAATGATTTGAGGAAAAAACGAGGGTGAGAAAAAATAGCCGCGATGGTGAAAAGTGCGCGCCATTGAGAAAATTATTTTTTGACTACTGATTTTTAGAAGACTGTCTTTTTTCAGTCAATCGAAGAGAACGGCTGAGGTTTAAAAGTGAAAGAGAAAGTTAGCTCCGTTGACAAAAAGTTGCAGCCGACCCGCCGCTGGTTTTAGTCAGTTTTTGAGCTATTTCCCTTTGATTTTCATCAAAGCATCGGCCATTCTTCTCACCCATACAAAAAAGGAAAGTTAGCTCCACTGACGAAAGTTGCAACCGACCCTGCGCGGGTTTCAACAGTCCATGTTCGGTGGGTCGTCGTAGAGGCCGAAGGAGGACTGTCGGGAGAGCGGCGTCGAGAGGAGCGACGTCGATCGCGACAGCGACGGCGACGACGGCGTCGACAGCGAATGCAGCGACGGCGGGACGGCGAGAAGATTCGCGCCCGTCGGCTTGAACGCCGACTTTTCGCCGCTGCCGATTCGGGGCTCTTCAGTCGCCGCTGGTCGCACTGCAATTCGTTCACGTTAGAAACTCCAGAATGGTCCATCTAAGGGCAGCCTTAAGGGACCTGGGAGGGTCCCCTTTAGGGACCACTTTGCTAACACCTATAGGAGCCTCTAAACCTTGCGAAAGTGGTATTAGAATGTGTCCCTCCTCTCAAAACTACAGTAGTACTACAGTAAGACTATAGTAAGACCACAGTACTACTCCAGTACGAATACAGTACTACCACAGTTTTTCGAACTACAGTACGAATACAGTACTACCACAGTTTTTCGAACCACAGTGAGACTACAGTAAGAGCACAGTACTACTAATACTGGTCTTACTGTAGTGAGAAGGCCCCTCCAAGCTACAGTACTACTACAGTAAAACCACAGTACTACTACAGTCCTCCTAAAGTGCTACAACAGTACACTTTACTAGGGGTAGCTAAGAAGACAAAAATATTAGTCTCAATTGGAATGGATTCCTCTATTTCCTTAGATGTGCAGGTGCCTAAAAAGCCATTTCAATTTTTTCCTGGGGTTTTTCTGCGGCTCACACAGGACTTTTATGAATTTGAAAGTTCAAACAATCGGAAAAATGTTTTTTTCCGAATATTTCGGTCTTTTTGGAATGGATTCTTTAATTCACTAAGATGTGCAGGTGCAGAAAAAGCCATTCCAATTTTTCTTTTTTGCTTTCCTTTTATCGATTTTCATTGACCCAAAAAAGAAAAAGCTCGATGAAAGCCCGAAAAAAGAATATTTTGGATATTTTTTTCGTCCTAAGTGGCTCGGAGTTCATAGGAAACGAGAACTTCGATCGAATTTGTCGGAGGGCCGATTTTCCTCGGAAACTCACGATCCAAGCTGCTGCCGAAGACGGAGAATATCTGTCGGATGTCATGACTGCTCGAGGTGAGGCTCGCTGTCGGCGTCGGCGTCGTTGGTGCGAAACTCGGTCCGGGCATCATGGGAGGTAGGGGAGAAGCCGAGGCGCTTCTCAGCGACAGTTGGCCGATGGGGGCTGAAATATCAACCGGAAGTCCGTCGACGGAATGCGTCCGCATGTGTCGGGAGATCATGTCGCGGCGGCTCTGAATCCCGAAGATTTTTATGACGTCATCGTCTACCCAAAACGAACCGCTGCATAGGGACATAGCGGGCAAGCGTAGGGCTTCTCGCCCGTGTGAGTCCTCAAATGGGTCGAAAGATGGTCGGACCGGGAGAAGACTTGGCCACAAGTCGGGCAACTGTACGGTTTGGCGCCGGTGTGCAACCTCATGTGCCTGGAAATGACGTCATTTAAAAGTGAGCCAGTGACTTCATTTTTCAATGAGCCAGTGACTTCATTTTTCAATGAGCCAGTGACGTCATCTAGAACGGTTTGCTACTCTTTTTTTATTATGAAAAGTCAAACCAGTCGTAGCCGCACTTGGAAAGACTTTTCAACTGTGAAATCTAAACAGTTCGGCGCAAGTCGCAAACAGTCGGTTGCAGCTTAAAATTTTTAGAAAACTGCTTTCAAACATGCTAGTGACGTCATAAAGTGCGTTTTCTATTCTTTTTGGTGCTAAATAATCCAAATAATCAGCTTTATGCGCCTGAAAATGACGTCATCCTAAATTATTTTGGTGACGTCATTTTTTAATGAGTGACGTCACCTATTAAGGTTTGCTCGTTTTTCTATGATTTTTTCTGCCGAAAAAACAAGAGCGGCATAAAAACGAGTTTTAACTGTTAAAATCGTGAAGCTAGGCGCAAGTCGCAAAGAGTCGGCTGCAACTTCTGAAAAACCCCGACCTGGTGAGCATATCGCTTCTCCCAAAACTCTTCGGACACAACGTGCAGCGGTGGATCTTGGCGTCATCGATTGTCGCGGACCTTTCGCGATGTCGCGAGGCGATGTGCTTAGCGAGGCGGTCGTGAACGGAGAAAGCCTGAAAAGTATTAGGTGCCGTCATTTTTCTTCTCAAAAAGCGACACATTAAAGCTACAGTAAAAAACTATATTTTTTGTGCAAACTCATCTCCTTCCTACTCCAGTTATTATAACCGTAACTTAATCTTGCTTTTAACTCGCTACAGTAACCCACCGTATTTGTCCATAAGCATAAAAAAATCAGATCTATCCAAAAATCTCAAAAATTCAATAATTTTTTTTGTCTCAAGAGGTTTTCTGTAAGCTTAAAAACTACCGTAGCCATAACTACAGCATCCGTTTCTCCCCTTTCAAGCTACAGTAACCCACCGTATCGATCTGGAAAAAGCGGGATCTTAAATCTTAAAAGCTTACATATTTTTTACTTCAGTTATCTCTACCATAACCACTGCTCTTCTCATGCAAGCTACCGTAACCTACCGTACCATTACCTCTTCTTTTCCGAGCTACCGTAACCCGCACCGTATCTGTTTAAAGGTGGGAAAAGTGGGAAAAGATCAAATCCTTTGAAGAAGCTTGTAGCCTTCCTACTCCAGTTATCCCTACCATAACCACTGCTCTTCCATGCTACCGTAACCCACCGTATCACATTGACTCTTGCCTTTCGAGCTACCGTAACGCACTGTACCTGTTCAACGGTGGCAAAAGTGGAAAAGATCAAATCCTTTGAAGAAGCTTGTAGCCTTCCTACTACAGTTATCCCTACCATAACCACTGCTCTTCCATGCCACAGTAACCCACCGTATCTTTGACTCTTCTCTTCCGAGCTACCGTAACCCACCGTACCTGTCCACAGGTGGCAAAAGTGGAAAAGATCAAATCTTTTAAAGAAACTTGCAGCCTTCCTACTCCAGTTATCTCTACCATAACTCTTTCCTTCCAAGCTACCGTAACCCCACCGTACCTGTCCACAGGTGGCACAAATGAAGTGCTGCGGCGGTCCCTGGACGGCCGGCGGCTGTGGGGTCGGTTGCCTCGGGACGACAATCGGCGTCGGCTTGGCCACGACTCTTGGTTCTTCTACCGGTTTCGGGATGGGCATCGGGATCGGAATCGTAGGCGCCACTGGGACTGGAACCGCGATCGGCGGCACCGTAACCGAAGGAATGGCTGCTAGTTGCGGAGTTGTGTTCTGTAACTTCCTGCTCAACACAATCTGTAAAGGACGACGAACCATCAAAGTGGCCACTTGAGTGAGGGAGTAGAAGTTGGCGGCGGTGTAGGCGGCGAGCTGCTGCCGCATCCAGTCTTCGATCTTCTGCTTCTCGTTGAACGCCGTCACGACGTTGGCATTCTGGAAGATCTGTTCATTCAAACCATGCCAAGAGCAGGTTCCACCTCCAACTGCAGAAGGCGATGGTCCTCCCCGACGACGACATTGTCATCAATGGTGGCCTGACGTGAGGTCTGTCGACTGACGCTCCTCAGGTCAAAGTCGTCGTCGACCTCGGATCCGAAGGCCGACGGCGGCGGCGTGCTGCTGCTGCGAGGCTTGGCCGTCGCCGCCGCGAGTCGCTGTCGCATTTCCTGCTCCTCCCGGTACTTTTTCATCAGTCGCTTCTTGCACTGCGAGGCCGACGCCGTCGCCGGCACCGAGATCGTCGAATGGAGGGCCGCGTTGCGCGACTGATGGTCGTTCGACGGCGACATGTCGCTGTCGGACCGGCTTCGCTCTCTGGAAATCGCGCAAAAATGGAATCTTTGAACAGTTCTGAACAGATAAAAATCAATATTCAAGATCTAGAGATTGTGAGAAAAGGAAAGACGCAGAGAGCTTTCATTTTCTCTGCGGCTTCCATACGGTCTAACGGAATCAAAATTCGATTTTTTGGGTACCAGAGAGCATAGGGAAAGAAGAGACGCAGAGATCTAAAGAAATCTCATTTTCTCTGCGTCTCCTTTCCCGCAGGCTCAAGATCAACCTGTAAAGTTGTTAGAGAAAATTAGACAGTGTGCGGGCTGAAGAGACGCAGAGAGCTCAGAGATTTCTCTTTCTCTGCGTCTCTTCAATTTGCACACACTCCAAGAGTAACTGAAATCATGCGAATCCAAAAAAAAGAAGTTCAAGAAATGTTCATGTACTCTCAACTTCATAAGCAGAGATATCAGAGAAAATCCACTTCTCTGCGTCTCTCAAGCTCCCACGCTCTCTATCTTTTTTTCTTTCTACCAACCTCGCTAATTGATCCAAAGATCCGCCAGGGACCATCAGATGTAGTTGATGATGATCATGTCGATTTGATAAGGAAGAACTGCTTCGGAGGTCAAAACTGAAAAAGAGTGTTCATTCATCTTTCCTCTGACCTGTCTGCGCTCTCTTTTCTCTCACTGATCTCTTCGGAGAGAGAAAATAGGGCGCAGACGAGCAGAGAAGTTCCAAATAGGCGAAAATTAGTGAATGGTCAAGAAAGACATAAATACAATTAAATGAGGTTCTGAAGCGAAAACTAAACTTTCCTATCTAGATTACGGTATGACTAGCTTTTAAAGGCGCATGGGGGGATTTCTTCATTTCTCCTCCCTGCGCCTTTAAAAACAAGGCTTCTGTAAACCTACTATAGTGCTAGTCATGCCAGAGAAAAAAAGGTTATCATTTTTGACTCGCAACTGTCTGACGCGTCTGCGCTCTCTTATCTCTCAGCACTCTATGGTCAAATGAAGTTGCAACCGACCGGCCGCTGGTTTCTTTTCTTCATCTTTCGAAAAGTTTCTCTGCTTTCTTGACGACTCTCTCATGTTCACAAGCTATTTCCACGCTTCCATAACCTGACCGGCAAGGGGAAAGAGGGCGCAGACAGGTCAGACAAGTCGTCTTTCCAAACTGACTTGAAATGGTTGAGGCTTTTCGAAGAGATGTTCGGCGAAAGGTTTGGCGATCTCCCAAAGGAGGAATAGGGCGTTTCGACGCCGTCCGTGTCGGAAAACGGCGAATACGGGGCCGGCGAGAACATCATTCCGGGCGATAGAAGTTCCTTGCTGCAGACGTCGGAATTCCCGTCGTCGAGATCGAAACTGCAACAAAAATGCTATTCAGGAAAACTTTCTTTCGCAACTCGAACTTTAACATTTTTTTAACCACAATCGGAAAGAAAAATTCAAAATTTATCCATGGAGCGAAGATTCCATAATTTTTTGGCCTTTCCATTTTTCGGTTCCATTTTTCAGCCATTGACCCTCTTTTTTCAGTAATTCGACTGAAATCCTATTTTTAAAGCTCAACCCTGCTTCTAAAAATTTTTTTCGGAAAGTTGAGATTTATCCATGGAGCGAACGTTCCCTTTAATTTTTTTGGCTGCTCTTTCGGTAGAATTTTTTTACGATTTTTTTCAATAAAATTTTATACTTTTTTTCCAGTGGATAGAATGAAAATTCTACGTTACCAGGCTCAAGCATGCTCTTAAGGTGTTCTTGGAAGGATAAAAATCGAGATTTATCCATGGAGCGAATGTTCCCTCATTTTTAGGCCTTTCCGTTTTTCGGCCCTGTTTTTCAGCCATTGACCCTCTTTTTTCAGTAATTCGACTCAAAATTCAACTTTGAAAGGCTCAAACTTGTTTCTAAGATTTTTCGGGAAGTTGAGATTTATCCATGGAGCGCAGATTCCCCTAATTTTTGCTGTAATTTCCAAAATTTTGTCAAATTTTTGACCACGTTTTCCAACTTTTCCAGCTAACTTCACGCTCTAAAGGCTCAAACCTGCTCTTATGATGTTCTCGGAAGGCCGTCCAAGGACCCAAATGCGTTGAGGTGACCGAAATCGAGGATCTGGGACTGGAGCCGAGATCCGACGTCGCGTAGTTCGGAGAGATCGGCGACAGTTTCCCATAGTCATAGCCGGCGGACAACTTGAAAAATATAACGATTTTTGAGCGACTTTTTCTTTTTTGAACTTGAATCATTTTCGATACACAGTTAAACTGAACATTTCAGTTACAAAAAAACCATTCTGGAAAGTTTTTATTGGAGCCTAAAAGCCATTCCAAATGCGGCTAAAAGTCGAATTTTTCAAAGGCTTTTTTCGATTTCGAATCGCCTTTTCTAGTAAGTTCAAATTTCAACTTGTAAAATATCCCCTTTTTCGAGAAAAAGGGGATGAAAAACTCAAAATAAAAGCCCATTTTTATCGATTTTTTGCAGATTTTATTCGGGTTTGAGGGCTTTTTTCTCGAAAAGTAGGAAATTTTGCAAAATGAAATTCTCAGGATAGTCATCTACTGCCTTCAGAAATATTCCAGCCAAGTTTCAGAAATATCCCATAAAAAAGTGAAACAACCCTCCTAGAAGGGACTTTCAGAAAAAATTCGAATTTTTTCGTGATTTTTTTTGATTTTCAGAAATTTGGGGTTCAAACCAAGTTGATCCTCTGCATGGCGTCGACGGTGAGAGGTCGGGGACGTTTCAGGCGAGAATCGGGCGACGTGGGCGACGACGGCGCCGAGGGACCTTGCTCGCAGATCAGGGGGCACTGAAAAATTATACTTTTCCAAAAAAAAAACCAAAAAAAGGTACTATTCAAAAAATTAGAAATAGAAGGACCTTATAAACTAAGTTGTAGATGGAAAAATTATCATTAAAAATTTCAAATTTTCACAAAAAAATAATGAAAAAAATCGGTTAATCAGGATCAAAAATTCCTTATACATAGGGTTGAAGAAAAAAATTGAATTATTTCAAAAATTAACAAAAAAATTCAAAAAAATCTTGTAGATTCCGGCAGTAAAAAAACATTATAGAAAAGTTTTTCAAATTTTAGACATTTTTTTGGATAACTTCAAGGATTTAATTGAAAGTATTATTCAATTTATTTCCAGGAAAAAGATAAATCTGGACCGATCCATTCCAAATGCGACCCAAAAATTGAAAAAAACTTGAAAAATCTGAAAAAAATCAAAAAAACAATCCGTAAAAAAATAAATTAAAAAAAGATAAAAATTTTTCGAAAAAAACGCCTGAAACAGGAAAATCATCTAAAAAAGCCAAATTAAAATTTAAAGGAGCATGTTTCAATTTTCAAAAGGTCTCGAAACGAAGAGCCCTTTTCAGCGTGGTTTCGGTTCAAATACCAAATTTTCACTCGAAAAAGAAGATTTTTGATGTTTTCTCATCACGAATATCAGTATATCAACAGAAAACCTTGCAGATTATTGGAGATGAAAAAAAAGTCGTTTGACGCGAGAAAAAGCAAAATGTCTCGAAAAAACGCCTGAAACAGGAAAGTCATCTAAAAGGGCCAGTTAAAACGAAAAAATCAATGGAAAAAGTAGTTGGTGGGGTGACCCCCAGGGTCTGGGCTTGAAAATGAGAAAAAGAGGGGGAAAAAATGGGGAAAAGAGGCGGAAAAAGATGAAAAGACCCGGTGAAGCGACAGCTGACGCGTCGGACCACTACGTTCTTTCAAGATTTTTTTTTGGGTCCAGAAAAGAAAATAGTAAAAAAAAAAGGAATTCTGAAAGTTCCAGGGAAAATTCGAAAAAAAGAAAAGCTTTTTAAAACACGCCCTAGAAACACGCTCTGACGCACAACTGAGATTTTTTGGATAATTTTTTTTTTTAAAAAGTGAAAAATTTAAAAAATGATAAAATACTCTCAGATTATCAATAGAGCGCACATTCTCGCGACCCTGACGGCTATTTTGTGTGGCCATTTTTTGAATGGAAAATACATGAAAAATCGTTTTCTGAACCGCAAAATTGAGAAAAATCGGAAAATGGGGGAAAAAATCGATTTCTCAATGGAGCACATATGTTCAGAATTTTTCGCAGCTATTTTTTCCAACCACTTTTTTTTGATAAGAAGTATCTTTTTTTTATTTTAATGCAAAAAGCATTGCGGAAAATGTGAAAAAACGGTAAAAATTTTTTTTCTCAATGGAGCGCAATTTCTCTGAATTTTCGCAGCTATTTTTTTTCGAACAACTTTTTTTGATAATAATTTTTCTTATTTCAATGCAAAAAAAGCATGACGAAAAATGAGAAAAAACGTGGAAATATTTATTTCTCAATGGAGCGCAGATTCTAGAAGTTTCAACGACTATTTTTTCCAGCCCCTTTTTTTGATAATCATTTGCCTATTAATGCAAAAAGCATGGCAAAAAATGGGAAAAAACGGAGCAATTTTTTTTTCTCAATGGAGCGCAGATTCTAGAAGTGTTAACGGCTATTTTTGTGAATTTTCTGATATCGAAAAAAAGAGCGGGAAGTGGAAAAAGAAGGTGGAAAACGGAGAAAATCGTCTCGGACAGCTGACTCCCACGCCGCCCTTTGGCCCCCGTGATTTTGAAATTTCTTTTTTTCGACTTTCTCGAGGAATTTCGAGCGGGATAACATATGAAAATCGGAAAAATCTCGGATTTTTTCCGAGAATTTCTTGAGTTCGTCTTGACAACGGTTGAATGGCCTTAAAAGGGGGACCTCAGGGGTTGTTGGAAATTTCCTTTAAGGGACTACTTTAACTAACATTTTGGGGGGGGGGGGCCAAGCTCTCAAAAGTGGTCTCTTTAGGGTTTTAAAACTTTTTTTTATCTTACAAATCGTGACGAGAAAGTTGAAAGACCCCTATAGGGACCACTTGAGCTTTCGTGACCTGAGGTTCAAGCCCTAAACCCCTATAGGGACCCCTAAATTTTATTATTTCCTGACCCTCTAGGGACCACTCAGGCGCTCCCAAGTAAACTAGGGGCTTTTTTTAAATTTCAGACACGATCTCATACGGAAATCGGAAGAAAATGATTTTTTTCAAGTTGATTTTTTTCCGTTTTTTTCTTATTTTTTTAAAAAAAGATTTTTTTCAATTTCTAAGCGTTTTCAAAAATTCGAATGTCAATTTAAAAGCAATCCAAACTAATTCTACTTCAAAAAAACCACATGAAAAAAATCAAAACTGAAGCTATAAAATAGTCAATTTTTATATTTTTTTCTCTTTTTTTGTCCATAAAAAGCCTTCCCAGATCATTTTCCATCAGAAACCTGTCCAATTATCAGATAATCTTTCTGAAACATCAAAAATAACTGAAAAAGGTTGCCTAATCTCCCGACGTGCGTCAATGACTTGAGCCGGAAGCCAAAAAGTGAAAAAAAATAAATATTATTCAGTCGATTTCAAGAAAAATGATAAATCTGAACCGATCCATCCCAAATGCGACCAGAAAAATTGGAAAATATTGAAAATTTGCAAAATCTAACTATTACGAAACAATCAATACCGTAAAAATAAATTAAGAAAGATAAGATTTTAGAAAAACGCCTGAAACAGGAAAGTCATCTAAGAAGGCCAATTAAAAAATTTAGAGGAGCATGTCCTAATTTTCAATAGGTCTCGAAACGAAGAGCCCTTTTCAGCGTGGTTTTCGGCTCAAACACCTCATTTTCACTCGAAAAAGATGATTTTTGATATTCTCCTCTACGAATATCAGTATATCAACAGAAAACTTTGCAGATTATTGGAGATGAAGAAAAAAAACGTCGTTTGACGCGCGAAAAGGATTACGCCGTCGCCGTAATCTATTCAATTCCTTTTTCCCTTAAAAATCAACGTATTGTAAAATAAAAAATATGAAATCATGTGTGAAACATCAACGAAAAAACGTGTGGGTGGCTGGTTTTTGGTGATTTTTCAGATTTGAAACGAGGGAAAAGAGCTAAAAAGGCTTCTTGAGAGCTTTCTTTGGTTTTTTTCTATGAGTATTGATTCTTGAAGCCTTTTCGTGGGATGAGAAAAAGAGTGAAAAAAATCGAAAAAAATTCAGAAAAAAATTGTTTATTTTTTTGTTTATAACTATCCGATTTCCAGATTGTTTTTTTCAAAAATAATGATAATTATGAATTTTTTTAGAATGGAAAAATTAATTTTCATATTCATCTCCAATGAAAGACTGGATGAAAGAAGAAAAATCAAAAAAGAATTAATTTTTACACAACTTTCCTGTTTCAACCCTTTATCGAAAAATTTTCATTTAAAGAAATATGGTTTTTGTCTTCACTATCCAGTTTCTAGCTTGTTTTTTCTCAAATATTGTGATAACCTGAAATAGAAAATTAATTTTATATTCATTCCCAATGAAAGATTGGGTCCTCAAAAAAATCAATTTTACACAACTTTCCTGTTTCAACCCTTTTTTTGAAATTACCATTTTCTCAGTCTTTTTTTTGATCAAAAAGCCCTCATAAACCCATATTTCTCGTCCATTTAGGGCTCAGAAAATCCCGCCACCCACCCATTTTATTTAGCGGCTTTCCGGCTGGAGATTTCAATCACGAAATGAAATGAGGAATCTTCGTGTAATTTCCCTTTCCTGTTCCAGGAAAAAGTATGAAAATTGTAAATTTCCTTGGTTTTTTTGAAAAAAAGACTTTTTTTGAGTTCATTTTTCTTACAGAGAAAAAAAGAAAAAAATGATAAAAAAATTTTTGAAATTTTGAAATTTCATGATTTTTTTCTCATTTCCGAGCTTCCTGATCTGAATTTAAGTTCATTTTCATACAGGGAATAGAAAAAAATGACATATGAAAGTTCAAAAAAATTGCTTTTTGCAAGCTTGAAAATTTGGAAATCTTGTGGCAAATTTTGATTTTTTTCTTGATAAAAAAACCCTTTTTTTAAAATTTTTTTCTTATCCAAATATACCTGACCGGAATTTTAGTTCATTTTTGGACAAAGATCAAAAAAAAGACACATGAAAGTTCAAAAATTGCTGCTAAAAGCTTGGAAATTTTAAAAAAAACTGTTTCATTCTTTCTAATAAAAATCGATTTTTTTCATTTTTTTGAACCAAGATTCAATGAAAAACCTTAAAAAAAGTCTATTTTTTTGATGTTTTTTTGGAGCATTTTCATGGTAGTATGAAAAACAGGAAACGAACGAAAAAAATTCAATAAATTTTTTTCAAATTTCAAAAAAAGTGAAAAATTAAAAAAATCGAGGAAAAATAAAGTGATTTTATCAAAAATTCACATCGAAATTATTGAAATAGTCGGTTCAAAAATTCAAATAATTTGGAAATCAGCTTTAATTTCTGGCCAAAGTACCATTAAAAAAACTGAAAAAAAGTGAAAACCAATGAATTTTTTTCATATTCCAAAAAAATAGTAAAAAAATCGCAAAAAAACGAGAAAAAAATAAAGTGATATTTTCAAAAATTTCTACCGAGATTATTTAAAAAGTTGGTTCAAAAACTCGAATAATTTTAAAAATCAGCTTTAATTTCTGACCAAACAATCATAAAAAAAGTGAAAAAAATTTCTACATATTATCTTGAAACAGAAACAGGAATCAAAGAAAAGTAAAAAAAAATCGGGATCAAACTATAAACATTTCCGGTAAATATTCACCTGGATGTTCATTTTGGCAGGTGGCGAATCGCGGCCGACGATGACGTCATCGGCCGGAATCTGAATCGCCGGAAGGACCAACGCCGGCGGCCGGTTGAGCATCTTCGGCGACGTCGTCGCTTCTGAAAACAGGTCGATTTCCGAAAAAAACAACAAGTTAGATGTGCAGGTGGGCGTTTGTGGGCGTGGCTTAATCTCTAAGACTTAACCTTGGCCAAAAGCCCCGGATTCATCAAGGAAATGTGTTCTTTGGGGTTTCTGGATATTAAGGAACTTTTTTTTTGGATTAAATCTTAGAAACTCCAGAGTGGTCCCATATAAGGGCCCTTGAAGGTTCCCTCTAGGGACCACTTTACATCTCCCTAGAGGGACCACTAAAGCTTGCAGGTGGTCCCTTTAGGGGACATGGCTTTTTTTGATAGGAACTTTCCACAAAAACGGCCCTATAGGGACCACTTAAGGGGCTTCAGAGTCAGATTCTCAACCCCTACAGGGACCACTTGAATTTCACCCGCATGGAGAGGGGGGGCACTTCAAAAAAATTAAAAAAATTTTTTTGATTAAAAATCATGGTTTTTGAAAAATAATTACTCCATTATAAAACGAAAATTGAGAAAAAAATTAAAAAAATTCAAAGGAAACATTGAACTTTTTTTCAGCCTGAGAAAAAAATGATAAAAAAATCGAAAAAAAGGGGGAAAAAAATGGATTTTTTTACGGTCAATTATCTCATTGGCCGGCCACGCCCCCTTTTTTATAAATATTCAGATCCATTGGAAAAAAACTTCACGATTAAAAATAATTTCAGAGATTCCGCTAAAAAAATCGACGTTATTTCGAGAAAAAAAGTACCATTTAAAAAAATTCCAACAATGCGGGTTTTTATTCTGCAATTGAAACAGGAAAATAAAATAATTCAAAAAAAAACTGAAAATGCAAAATTCGTTCGCTTTTTCATACAGCGAATCGACTGAATAGTCCCTTTTTTTCTTAAATTTCACTTCAAAAAAATTAAAAAAAAAAAAAATATAAAGGATTTGAAGGCTTGCGTGGAAAAAAATGCTAAAAAAATATCAGAAATCTGTTTTTTTGTACCTTGAGAAACGATACAAAATTAGATTTATAACATTTTTTTGGACAGATTTTATAAGATGAAACTATACAATTTTTAAAAAAACTCACGAACAACGGGATTTTGCATACGCCCTACGTTGATTCTTGTTCTGTTTTTTTCGGCCTGGTTTTACCTGAAAAAAACGGGAAATTTTTTTGGCTGATTATTTAATAAAAAAACGGATCGAAACGACGTGACAATAAAATGGAGGAATACGAAAAATTGACTGGAAGAAATGAATCAAAAAAAGGTGCATAAAAACTGTTATTTTTTTGCTACATTTTGACGTCAAAAAAAGTATGAAATAAGAAAAATAAGTATAAATATCGAAATTCTGGAGCGTTTGACAAGGGAACTTCAAAAAAATTATTATAAGTCAAAAAAATAATATAAAAAAATAAATTTTCGCATCTTTTTATATAATTTAAAATCAGGAAAAAAACGGCTCAAAAATCAGTAGTTTTTTTCAGTAACAAGAAAAAAATTAGCGTTCCACATTCTTCTTTTTTTCAATTTTTTTAAAAAGTTTTCTAGTTAACAAGAAGCAAAATTAGAAATGAAAAAAGAAGTGAAAAAAAGGAAAAACGAAAAAAAGAAAAAGAAAAATTAGTGCAAACACGGAGATTACAGAGGCCCGAATGCAGATTTTCATACACAGTAAATTTTCGAAAAAAATTTTAAAAATTGGTCTTTGAAAGGAAAAAGATTTAGAAACTCTTAAAAAGTTCAGCAATAGATTGAGAAACTGTTTCTTCTTCACCAAATTTAGAGAAATATCATAAAAAAATCGAGAAAATTAATAGAAAAAAATGAGGCTTTTTAGTTTCAAACTTTTTTATGTGTGATAAAAAAAGCGAATATTCCAGGAGAAGAATGAAAAAAAGCTAAAATTTGAACAGATAATGAAAAATTTCAACTGCAGTTGATAGAAAAAAATCATTGAGCCCAAAAAAATAGAAAAAAAGGAAAAAAATAATGTTTTTTTTTGGTTTTGAAAAATGTTTTTTTGGTTAGAAAGAAAAGTAAATTTAAGTAGAAAAAAAGTGAAAAAAACAGCTTCAAATTTCAAACTTATTAATGAAAAATTTCCAACTCCAGTTGGTAGAGAAACCATAAGAATAAGAAAAACCGAAGAAAAAAATCAAATTTTTCAAAAGTTTGAATTTTTTTCTGGTCCACAAAAAGCAAAAAAATTTGAGGAGAAAAAAAGGGAAAAAAAGATAAATTTGAAATCGATTAGTAAACGCTTCAACTTGATCAAATTATCAAGATAATTGAAGAAAAAATTAAAATTTTTTTTTAATGATTAAGAAGTGGAGAGAAGGAAGAAAAAATACTGGAAAAAAATTTTTTTAGTGACCACTATAGGGTTTTGAGGTTTTAGTGGCCCCTTAAGTAGTCAATTTAGTGGCCACTTAAGGGGTTAGAAATTAGTGGCCACTATAGAGGTCTAAGTGCTACTACTAGACCACTAAAAAGTTTAGTGGCCACTTTAGGGGTCAATGGATCAACATAACTGGTCCAATCTGTTTGTTTTAAAATTAACAGAGTTACTGGAAGGAATACTGGATGAAAAACTACTGAAGTGGCCACTAAAACTGAAAATAGTGGCCACTATAGAGGTGGATTTAGTGGCCCCTTTAGTATCCTCTCCAAGTAGTCCTTGAACCTCTATAGTGGCCACTAAACATTTTCCCAGTAGCTACATTTTAAATCGATTGATGAAAATTTCCAGGCTTCAGAAGGAAAACGAGAAAAAACATCAAATTTCGACATTTCGAAAACTTTGATGAATTGCAATGAGAATATCTGAGGTATCGTGAGAAAGAGGAGAAAAAAACGCGAGAAAAAAATCCCTAGCAACGGGAGCATGAACTGATAACAAAGTCAAGGGCGTGGGTGAGTCAAAGAAAAAAAAAAGCTCAAAGCTCTGGGGACAAAATCGTCACCCTTTTTCTTTATAATTAGTGGAGATCGAGGGCTTTTTGGGCGGAACAAGTAGCATAAATTGAGAATGTTTCAAACCGAACTTGGACTTTTTCAAGAAGATAAAAATCATCTTTTTCGATGAGCAAAAAAACATTTTTTTATAGTTGACAGCAGAAAAAAATGATTTTTTTCAGCGATAAAAATAAACTCGGGCAAAGTCAAAAGGTTGAATAACGGCCGCTGAAAGGAAGAGGCTAAAAAAAGGCCGCAGAAAGGCAGCAAAAAGGCAGAAAAAAGGCAGAAAAAAGGCCGCAGAAAGGCATCAAAAAGGTAGCAAAAAAGCCGAAAAAATGTAGCAGAAAGGCAGCAAAAAAGCAGCAAAAAGGTAGCAGAAAGGTCGCAAAAAGGTCGCAAAAAGGCTGCAGAAAGGCATCAAAAAGGTAGCCAAAAAGCCAATGAAATGGAGCAAAATGCAGCAAATAGGAGCCTTTTCTCAGGCTTTCTGACTTCGCCTACGAAAAATCTTTTTATAAAACTGACCAGGGAATGGTCTCCGGTCGCAGTAGGACCTCTCAATGAGACCAATTTTTCCAGATGTAGTTTTTTACGCTGATCTCAAATCTGGTCTCAAAAACTGGCGAGGAGCTCTGTGAAAAAAGTTATAGACCCTCAAAAGTCGAAAATTTCAGTGTCTCCGATTGAGCTCATTTTTGGAGGGTATATAGACCTTGTCCCTCTGGTCAAGAAAAACCATTGAAGTTTTCACAAAAACATTTCGGAGCCCAGATATGATCTTTCAAAGCCCCGCCTCACGCAATAGCTTGCGAGCGCGGTGTCCTATTGCGATCCGGCGACCGTCGAAGCAACAGCAGCAAGGAGCAGTGGTAAGGCGGCGGACTGGGGATCACGAGATCATAGGTTCGATGCCCACTCTATGCAAACTTTTTTTGCAGTTTTTCTTATTTTCTATGATTTCGTTTAAGGGCTCCTATTTTGAGTTTTGAGGCGTATAAACATGAAAACATCTCCGTTTTTAGCCTATTCGAACATCTAGAATTATTTTCGTCAAAAATTTTTTTTCATGGAATTTTTTTGAGATTTTTTTCATGTATATGAGCATGGGCTGGAGTGAGAAAAATTTTTCAAAAAAATTCTTTGTTTTTCATTTTTGTTTTTTTCTTGTGGAAGAAAAATTCTGTGGTTTTTCGGTGTATCAATGAATAATTGGACTGAAAAATTTTAGAATAAAAATTTAAAAAGAAAAAGAACCAAAAAAATTTTTTTTGAAAAATTTTTCCTCACTCGAGCCTATGCTCATACACATGGAGAATAACGAAAAAAATTATAAGAAGAATTTTTTGAGAAAAAAAGTCCAGGTGTTTGAATAGTTTCAAAACGGAGAACTTTCACAGTTTAACGCTTCAAAACTCGAAAAAGAGCACTTTCGCAAAAATTTTCCGAAACTTCAGCAGTCGTAGTTGAACGGTGAGGTCTATTAAAGCCAGGAAAAAAATTTTTCTGTGGGATATGTGAGCGTATCTATGACTAATTAAACTTCGATTCTCAGTCTATCAAAGATCCTTTGAGCAAATTTATAGAAAACTCCAGACCCTATGCAAAAATGACCTTCCATGTGAAGCTCTCCTCGCGAAGGGGCCATCTGGCGACGCCTTCGACTGATAGCTCAGCCTCTAAACCTCAACCTTCAACTTCTTTGTTGTAGTTGCCTCCTGAACTAGCTCGGTGTGAGCACGATGATAGTCTCTCCTTGATGAGTCTCCTGAGGCCTTAGCGGTCCTGTTTCAGGATTGCGCGATGTGTATTTTGACACAATTTCGCCTAGTTTAGAGAGAACTGTCAGCAGAAACTGCTGTTTGTGTATCGCCAAGTGATCTCCGAACACGTGGAAATTTTAAAACTTCAGTAAAGGACGAAGAGTGGGACAGCAATGTGATCGTTTCTTCGTATTATAAATATATAATAAATATTTTACTTCAACAACTACGTTGTCTAGCAAAATATAACATTATCATTAGCGAAAAATTGATATAAGTTCAAAAAGTAGATATGAACTGATGAAATTAGACGTGAGAATTCAGGCGTATGGAAGTCGAAACGCAGAAGTCAGTCCGTCATGAGAGTTTCTCTGGTCTTGCTGGTGGTTTTCGCCCTCGTCGTGAGTTTTTCGGATCCCGGTTTCTTGTTTTCCGAGACTTTATAAAAACGACAAATTCGAAAATCCACTTCTTTTGGCGAAAAGGGATCTCAACTACACTGCTCCACATAATTATATATCCACCTGAGATTTTTCGAAAAATCGAGTATACGGAGAGCTTCTGAAAATCTTTTTGTTGTCAAAAGATGGGAATTTTGATCAGATTAATGTAGCTATTAACGAAGTTTCTATTGAAAAAAAGAAATGTTTTCAAAACTTTCAATTTTTTTCAAAAAAACCGAATTTTTCCGTTCCACATAATTATATATTCACCTGAGACTTTAAACTTTTTGAACCATTTTTTTCCGGTTTTTTGTATCAGTTATCATTTCCTCATCATTTTTGTTTGAAATGAAGAAGAATAAGAGCAAAAAGGTTTTCGAAAAAGTGGGAGAACCTTGGATCTAATCAGAGAACGGTCGCGGTGCTTTTTTGGCTTCGCGTTAAATCGCAAACCGCTACTCCCTGACGTCATCCCTATGACATCCTCTTCATTTGCAAAATTCGCACACGCAGCCATATCATTTTATTCATCTTTTACGTTCCAATTTATAAAATTAGATTCGACGTGAAAACTTCTCCGGTCACATGAGAAACAGAAAGATATCACACTTGAAAATCCCCTTTTGATTGGAAACTTTTTTTTATTCTTTTATTTTCTTGCTTTTTTTAGAAACCTTTTAAAATTTTTAGAAACCCACGCTTACGCACAGTATGCTCCTTTAAATTTTTTTTCTTTTTTTTTGGGAAATACATTTCACAGATTTTTTCGCTACGCGTATCAAGCTTGCATCGTTTAGAGCTACCTGATAGTGTTATTAGTGTCCACTTTTTGAAACTAAATGCCTTTCATGTCAAGTATTCATTTATTTGACGAATTTTTCACTGTGGCTCAGTTTTTTCGAAGCGAGCCACAGTCGGCTTCGCGCTATGCGCGCTCCGCCTCCGTGAGAAACCTTAAAACTAAGCCTATTTTCTTAAGTAATGCATGAATCTGTAGGCGCAGTTTTAATGCAAAGGCGCAATTCAGGCTCTTCCCATTCTTCAATTTTTTCAATTTCAATTTCAATTCAATTCAATTTATTCAGTCTTCAGAGTAACACGGTGTTCCGCGCAATGAAAAAAAATGCGAAATTTTGGGTCCCAGCGGCATATTATCCGTGGCGCATTATTGCGCCCTTCTCATGGTTTCTGATGCAAACATTGAATTACTTCACTTTTTTCATTGGTTTTTTACTTTTTTCTATTTCTTGCATTTATGTGATCCACCTCTCTATGGGTACATCTTGTGGAGCTTTAAATTGCGCATTTTTCTAAACCGGTTTCAGATCTTTAACTTTTTTCTCAAAAGAGCTGAAGATTTTTCTAAAAGTCCTAATTTTTCAAAATTTTGAAATCTGTTTCGCGACATGAAAATAATCACTTTTTAATTTAATCAGGTAATAATAAAAAAAGTTATTATCTAGTTCCTTTGACGTAGTTTGAAACCGGTTTCGTGTAAATTAGAGCCAAATTGAATTTGCTGATGCAGTTTAATGATTTTGATATATGCATCATCTAAATTATATTTTTTTCTAGTTTTTTTTGATGGTTTTTTTCGGATTTAAACAAAAAAATTTCGCCATACGAGGTTTTTTTCTAAAAATTTCTGATTTCTATCCAATTATTTGTTTTTTTCTGAAGCTAGGTTTTTCGAGGTATATAAAATGTTTTTTTTTCATTTGCTCCTCGAATTTTCCTCATTTCAATATTTTTCGTATTTATAAATGCTTATTCAATGGGAGCTGATTCATTTTCATATTATTTTTTTTGTTTTTTTATTTTGTAATCAGTAATTTAGAGTTTTCCCTTTTCGAAATCGTTCCTAAATGTTTTTTTAACATAAGTGAATGTTTTTTCACATCATATTCTTCAAAATGACAAATTTCGAACATTTCAGGAGCTATTATCCTGAAATCGCAAATTCAAATAAAATTGAAAAAAAGTATTTTGAGTATGCGATAGTGCGTCTCGGTGTGCTTACACCCTAAGCATCATAATTTACGAAAAGTCTTGACCTTGCGAAATGAAAAAAACACCGTGGTAAGTTGAAGAAAATCTCTGCTGAATCATGGTAGAATCGAAGAGTTAGTCGTCGGCGCGGGTTACGGTCCACAATCTTTGTCCAATACGTCCCGGAGTGACAGCTAGCGTTGGGAAATAATGTGGGCCCGTTGGTAGCACCAGCGAATAAACTGCTTCACCATGTTGGAACAGTACAGCGCCCAGCTTGTCCAGGGCTGACGGGCGTCGGAATATTATCCCATGAGAGAGCAGCAATGAGACCGACCAGTCGACGTGATGAAATGAGATAATAATAATCTGCCGAATCACGTTCACGTGAAAGAAATGAATATATAGCCAAATATTTCGATTACGCTTATTTCTAATGTTACGAATGGTGTCATGAAATGACGTCAGGGAGTTGCGGTTTGCGATTTAACGAAAACTTTTTTAAAAACATTTCTTTTTCAATAGAAACTTTGTTGATGGCTACATTAATCTGATCGAAATTCCCATCTTTTGACAACAAAAAGATTTATAGGAACTCTCCGAATACTCGATTTTTCAAAAAATCTCAGGTGGATATATAATTATGTGGAGCAGCGTATTTGATCAGTTACAGCGCAGTCGTAAAAAATGTTTTGTTTTTGATTTTTTGAGACTAATTTTCAAAACGCGCTGTAAAGCTGCGTTTTTTCCGCGGATTAAAACTCAGCAACATTTTTTCAGAATCCATCGGAAGCTTTTTTTGTTGAACACCTTCGTAAAGCAGCGAATGCTGTGGCGGGTGGTATAAAGAAAGTGGTAAAGGATGTTAAGGAGGTAAAAATTAAAATTCAAAATAAATACTATGCAGAACTTTAGTTTATATTTCCTACTCCGCCTCCACCTCCAGAACCAGAACCAGAAGCTCCTCCACAAGAAGTTACAACTCGTCGTCCAGCTTATCGTCCAGCTTATCCTCCAGCTTATCCCCCAGCATATCGTCCAGCTTATCCTCCAGCTTATCCCCCAGCATATCCTCCAGCTTATCCTCCAGCTTATCCTCCAGCTTATCCCCCGGGACATGGGCCTCCTCCACAACAGCCCATTATTATCAAAAGAAGCATCGAAGTGAGTCGCCGCGAAACTGCAACATATTTTTTCAAGTTTTCTGAAAAATTCCTTGCTTAATCATGGAATATTTTTAGGGTTTTCGTCGGTTTTGTTTCAATAGTAGTAGTCGATTGTTAGCGGTTCGATGATCAGCTACTTTTCCAAGTATAAATGGTTCCCGGCTTTTCCGAAGCTGACGGTCGTAGGATTGAGTCTCACTAAGAATAACTGACGAGATAAACGCGAGGTAGGTGTCGGTACATTGACGGACTCGCAAACATGTCGCATTTTTCTCGGTGCGATTACGCATTTATCTTGCACTTCGGAATCTTTCAAATTGTGAGAGAAATGCAAGTTCGCGCCTAGAAAAATGCGAGACCAGCGTGACAAAAAAAGCGAGATGTTTGCAAGCTCGTCAGTGTACCGCCAGCGTCTCGCGTTTATCTCGTCAGTTATTCTTAGTATCTAGCGAGAGCGGAAATGAAGCCGAGCATTCGGGAGGTTTTAATGAGTTAGTGTGTTGTCAATTTCCCGCCTTTCAGGTCGGGAAAAATTGGCTGATTATAGTCAATTTTTTCCGACTTGAAAAGCATGGCAGGCAAAGAAAATGGCGGGACGCGTAGCGTATGCGTTTGCGGTTTTGATCACGAGCTCAATTCAACCGCCTGGCTATTTTTTGTTTCATCGTTAGCCAATAAGACCCTGAAAGACTTGGGAAGGTTTAAAAAACACTGTTGCCAAATAAACGACCGATGTTGGAGCCACTAGCGCGAATTTCGGGTAACTATCTGGTAGCATCCAGATACTGATCAGGTCCTATCCAGGTACTATAGAGATAGTACCTTTTCGCGTACAAACGACCACCGATTACGATACGCCAAGTGCTTTGAATTGCTTCTGACAGTCTTCAGTAATGATTTGCTACGTAAAAAACTTGGGGTAACAAAAAAGAGGTTTTTTTATAAATCGAAAGATAGAAAGATCACTTCATCCATTTTAGCAGAGGTGGAGGATGGCTGCCCACTGGCCGCCCTGCCTGCCAAGCCATAAACGCCCAAAAGCAGAAATGACTTTTTCAATAGTAACCCAATGAATCATTTCTATCGCTTGGCCCAATGGCTTGGCTTGGCCGTCAAGCCAAGGGCTACCTTCCCAATCCTCCACCTCTGCATTTTAGGATGACATTTGAAACTGAAAAAGTCGATAGGAAATGAGGAAGGAGGTTTCACATTTAATCAGCTTGTCACTGGTCAATCGGGAGCAGGATACAAGTAGCTGCGCTCATAAAATGGTTCAATATAAATTCAACTTTGAATGGGCAGCTTTCATTTCAGGGAATTCTGTTGTAGATAACCGCGAAAAACCTCGATTGATATTGACACAGATTAAGGCGAAAACTCACTTGATATTTTTTTTTTTTGGCTTTTTAAACTCTAGCATGACTTTGTAATAAAAATTGAAGAGCTTGGCGAATTCAGCACGCACTAATCAAAAAGCAAAATATTATGACATAAAAAGCCGATAATTCACAAAAAATTGACAAAGAAAAAAAAAATAAATCAAAGAGGTGTGAAAAAGCGCGCCCCAATGATAAATCTAGTGAATTTAGGTGAGGCAAACTTTACAAATACCGTAGGCTAATCTTTTTTTTCAGTTAAATCTGCAAACCTGCTTCGTTCTCGCCTTTGCCAGCTTCTTCCACGCCGCTGTTTTTTAATCGGATTTTTATTCGCTGAAAAAGAATAAAACTAGATTCAAAATTGACAAAGGTCCACCGAGGTATTTATCTGTACAAAGCATTAGTTTCGAGCTAGAGCAATCTTTCAGAATATGAATTGAATCTCAAGTTCCTACGCATGAAAATTTCTCTAGTGAAATACCTATAAGGTTTTTCAAGTAGATATGCCTGTTCGGAATTCATTGCGGGATAGAAAACGTCACTGCAGTAGTCGAGGTGAGGCTTCACAAATAGGTTGAAAACCATATTGAAAACCGATTGACGTTCGAAAAGAAAACTTTCGAACCAACCAACTAGTTGAGAGTTGAGCTCAAAAGCTCTAAGCTTGTCAAACAAAAGGTTATGAGGGACATTATCGAACGCTTTTTGTAAATCAAAATAAATAACGTCTGTTTTTTGGCGAGAAAATGAAGTGATTGATTGAAGTTTTGTACTCCTCGATCTTAAAACGTAGGGTACCACCCGCTATTTAGCAGAACAAGCTTCATTTCTAGGACTTCTATAGATGTGAACCGCACAATAAGGCTCTCTCTTCCACTCCGTCTCATTTCTACCTCCAGAAGGATCTTTCTTCGCTGTCGCCGAAGATTTAATCTCACGGCCGTCAGCCCTCGACAAGCTGGGCGCCGTAGTGTCCTTACTAGTGTGTTTGAACGCAGACGGAAAATTGCAGGGAAAAAAACTCGAGCTTCCAAAATTATGAGTCTTACGGAGATTTTCGACTTCGATGTCTCTGGGATAAGCAGTTGATCGTCGGAATGTTCAACTTCCCAACGTGTCCATCCGGAGAAGGGCAAGAATGTTACAAGAGCCATTTGTGGTCAAAGTTCGAAGGGTCCTCATAGAAAAATGTTCGAAGATGTACTTTAGAAGAGCTCAGGATGGACCAAACAGATTTATAAACTCCCGTTTGATCATCTGAGTAGTGGAAAAGAACATCAGTGGAGGATGGGTTCAACTCAAAGCCTTCTGGTTTCACAAATTTCCGAGAAACAACGAAAAAACCGAAAAAAAGTTTTTTGATGGAAAAACAAAGAAAAACGAGCTTTTTCTTCGAGGAAAACAAATTTAAAACTTGAAAAAAACACGTAAAGCTCAAAGTTTCATCTGTATGAACTAACTACATGAATTTTCAGCAGATTTCGCTGCAATCTGAACTTTTCATTTTTTGAGATGGCCAGCTTCAGGCGCTTTTTGACCAACTGGGTCCCCCAAAGAAATAACTCCAAAGCAGTTGAATGTAACTTTAAACATTGTCTATTTTCCAAAAATGTAAAAAAAAGTTAATACGTATCAGCTCACTGAGTGAGAAAATGAAATAAAAGAAAAGACAGCCAAAAAATGAAAAACTGAAAAAAGATGAAAAATTCAAAAATAAAAAAAAATTAGAGTGAATACTATACTTCCAGAGTGCTGAAACTTTGAAGAACTCCGTTTTCTAGCAGAATATTACAAAAAGAAGCCATGGTATTTTTTTTCCGAGAAAGTTAGAAATTTTCTAAAAATTGGTCAACTCCGAGTTGGTCCTCTTCGGCGAGCAGACGACCAACTGCGTCCCTCAAAACTGAACATGTGCTCATTTTTTTATGACCAAGAAAGGCCTGGCGCTTCGATTTATGAAATAAAATTTTACTACGTTTGGGGTCCCAACCCCCGAAAATGCCCAAAAAAGGAAAAAATCAAAACCAGTATATGACGTTGCGGTCCGGCGTTTCGTCTTGTTTCTAGCAAAACCACGAAAAATACTCTATCTATTGAGCCAAACATGGATTAGGCGAATTTTCCATCTAAGACCCGAAAAATCCAAAAAACGTGTACTTTTGGGTAAGATTTCCAATAAACTTTTTTACGTCCTGTTCTTTCGGTTCAAAACTAGCAAAATCGTAATCAGCACGCATTTTTACATCTACTAGGTCATTTCCAGATCGAAACAAAAAAAAAATTTTTTTTCACCCAAAAAAATTATGTCCGGGAACCGAAAAAATTTGTATGTCCTGGGATAGAAATTTTCGAGGTTTTTTGCTCATAACTTCAAGAACAACGTATCTGGTCAGAACAAAGTTATTTGTTGCCGTTACGGTTCCCTTAGCAAGGGGGCATACACCATTCTAGGTCAACTAAAAAAATTTTTTTAAAAAAAGATCATTCTCAAAAACCCCAGGGAGGAAAAGATTTTTTTTTTTAGGATCGCAGTTAAAACACGTTTGAAATTGTTCATACCGTATTTAGAAACATGTTTCTTCAGACACTTTTTCCGCTTTCAGAAGAAGAAAATATTCAAAGGCATCCTTCGGATGCCAACAAAACTTGGGAAACCCAGTCGCCATCGTTGGGGAGCCACGAAACAGAAGGATTTGGGTTTCCCCCGCAATTTTTCAAAATTTAATCACTCGACAAAAGTTTGAAAATTCAAATCATCGAAAATGTTTTCACTGAAAAAAGTATTCCCAAACTGTGTGCCTTACTGAAAATTAATTAATTATCATCCTCAAAAAAGCTTCAGAAATCATACTTTGATCACAGTAAGTCGAATGTTTAACCTTTTGAGGCCTCAATAACTCTAGTGAAGCTTTTAATTACAGAAAAACTCAAGCTTTTTTTTCAGTGAAAACATTTTCGATGATTTGAATTTTCAAACTTTTGTCGAGTTCAGGTTGATTAAATTTCGAAAAATTGCGGGGGAAACCCAAATCCTTTTGTTTCGTGGCTCCCCCACGATTAAATTTCGCTTTTGCCAAAACTTTTCGAATTTTTACAGAATCTCATGAAAAAAAGGTCTACAAAATCATCCATGTACACGGCATGTAGACGCCCATCGTTCAAGAAAAATGAAAGATGTGAAAAATCAAAAGTAAAAACGCTTTCTCGCTTTTTTTTTCAAAACGTCTCTGACATTGACTTGGTTAGTGATTATTCATATATACATATTCTTCAGTAAACTTTTATGTAGAACTTCGCATTTTTTTTAGTTCGGTTTTTTGCTGTTTCTTTCTGCAATGGTCTTATTTCGTCGGTTGTTCTCTTATTTCTCGAAATGCATTTTAAATGTTTTTCAAAACTCGCCTTTCAGCAGTCTGAGTACTCGAAGAGCAGGCCCATTTTGAATAGGAAAAGTATTCAATATGAAAAACTCCAATATTTCATTTAAAAAAACTCAAATTAATATTTTTTTCGAAACTTCTCCGGGGTGAATTCACGCGCAGCAAGGGGCGCGCGGTATCTATAAACACGCCCCTTTTCCTGCGATCCTGACGAAAGTTTACACAAAAATGGTTCCCCCGATTTCGCCACTCTTTTGCTCATAACTTTTTTCATTTTCCCTATTTTTCTTTTCTGTTTTCGCAGTTAGCTTTCGATTGCCATCAGCTTTCTTTTTATATAGTTTTCAACTTTATACTACTAACTATGGAAATTGGCCTGCGGTCCCTACGTATATTTTTAGATTTTTGTATCGTTTCACTTTCTGTTGTGTAATATAACCGTGTTTGATGCGTTTGAAAAGTACTGGAGTTAATTTTTGATCGAGATGGTCACGCAATTTCGATTAAAATGACATTTTGAAGAGTAACTTTTTTTGCAGATGCTACTTGGTTCATGTTTTTGTTTCAAAATGCTCAGAATGAGTTTCTCTAAAAACGCCCAGAGCTTTTTGTTTCAAAATTTTTTTTTTCGACGTTTTACAAAACATGTTGTCTAAAATGACTTTTGAAGTTATAAATTTTTGTGCCGAAGCCAATTGATTCTTTTTTTCGTTTCAGAATATTCAAAATGCGTTTTTTGAGAGAACCGTCATGGATTTTTTCCTTCAAAAAATGTTTTAGGACTTCACGCGAGAAATTTTCCTGAAAAAAGGCATTTCGTGTGATAAATTGTTTGGCAAAAAAGATTTCGTTCGTTCAGTAATTTCGCGAAATGCAGTTATCTTAGTTATCTTTTTCTCTGACGGCTATTTCGAAATTTGCGGAATCACTTTGAACACGGCATTATCATTAGCGAAAAACAGGAATAACTTCAAAAAGTAGAGATCAACTGATAAAATCAGACGTGAGAATTGAGGCGTATGGAAGTCGAAACGCAGAAGTCAGTCCGTCATGAGAGTTTCTCTCGTCTTGTTGTTGGCTTTCGCCCTCGTCGTGAGTTTTTCGGATCCCAATTCCTTGTTTTCCGAAACGTTATGCCGTGTTCAAAGTATTTTCGGCGATTTCAAAACTGACGCGTTATTCGTTTAAAATGATTTCGAGAAATAGGCAGAATTGGTATTCCGGGAAGGGGCAGAAAAAATGAGTCCTACAGCGATATATCGATTGATACGCATTTTTTACGCGCGAATTCGAATTTTGCGTAGAAAATGCCCAAATAACCCCAAAATTTTGAGTTCGCGCGTGAAAGTTACAGTAAAAATGCATATCAAACGATATATATCGTTGTAGGAATCATTTTTTTCCCGCCTTCCCGGAATACCAATTCCGCCAACTTCCCGAAATAATTTTAGACGAATAACGCGTCTGTTTTGAAATCGCCGAAATTACTTTGAACACGGCATTATAAAAAAAAAAGACGAGGAGTGAAACTCAAACGAATTTTTTTTTCAGAATCCATCGCAAGCATTTCTTGGCGACTTTTTTGGGGGTGTATTTGATAAGGTGAAAAAAGCCGCAGCGACCGTTGTTCGGGTGAAAACTAAACTTTAAAGTAGTTACTATGCAAAAATTCAGGCTATCCTTCCTTCGCCTCCGCCTCCGCCTCCGGAACCAGAGGTTCCTCCACAAGGAGCTTATCCCCCAGCATATCCTCCAGCTTATCCTCCAGCTTATCCTCCAGCTTATCCCCCGGGACATGGGCCTCCTCCACAACAGCCCATTATTATCAAAAGAAGCATCGAAGTGAGTCGCCGCAAAACTGCAGCAAATTTTTCCAAGTTTTCTGAAAAAATTCCTTGCTTAATCATGGAATATTTTTAGGGTTTTCGTCGGTTTTTTTTCAGTAGTAGTAGTCGATTGTTAGCGGTTCGATGATCAGCTACTTTTTCAAGTAGAAATGGTTCCCGGCTTTTCCGAAGCTGACGGACGTAGGATTGAGTCTCACTAAGAATAACTGACGAGATAAACGCGAGGTAGGTGTCGGTACATTGACGGACTCGCAAACATGTCGCATTTTTCTCGGTGCGATTACGCATTTATCTTGCACTTCGGAATCTTTCAAATTGTGAGAGAAATGCAAGTTCGCGCCTAGAAAAATGCGAGACCAGCGTGACAAAAAAAGCGAGATGTTTGCAAGCTCGTCAGTGTACCGCCAGCGTCTCGCGTTCATCTCGTCAGTTATTCTCAGTATCTAGCGAGAGCGGAAATGAAGCCGAGCATTCGGGAGGTTTTAATGAGTTAGTGTGTTGTCAATTTCCCGCCTTTCAGGTCGGGAAAAATTGGCTAATTATAGTCAATTTTTTCCGACTTGGAAAGCATGGCAGGCAAAGAAAATGGCGGGACGCGTAGCGTATGCGTTTGCGGTTTTGGTCACGAGCTCAATTCAACCGCCAGCGAAGATTTGGAGAGCTCGTTCATCGACTTTTTTTTTCATTTTTTTCAGAATTCTGTCTTGATGATTTCATTTTTGCATTTAAAAAAAGTAAAGTAGGTAAAAAAAGAACGGTGCTTAAGCTTTTTTATGGGTTAATGAAGCTTGAAATGAACTCGAGCCTATAGCCGCCTTTGTGCACGCTACGCGTCTCGCCCACTTCTCTGCCTCCCTCGCCTTTCAAGTCGGGATGGTTATTTTTATAGAGCAGATACGCAATACAATGTTTGATTTCCCCTCATAATCCGTTTTTTTTACAACCCAATTGCCTGAAATCAATGCATAAACTAATCTTTTTTTCAGTTGAATCTGCAAACCTGCTTCGTTCTCGCCTTTGCCAGCTTCTCCCACGCCGCTGTTTTTTAATCGGATTTCGACTTGCTGAAAAAGAATGAAAACTTGATTTAAAATTGACAAAGGTCCATCGAGGTATTTACACGGTCAGCCGATAAGTAGGATAGGCGGTGAAATAGCTATTCGGTAACATACTTCTAAAGCTTTCTGAGTCCTCAAAAATCCAGAAACCATTGGGATAGTTCATACAATTATTAGGTCGTTTACTGAGTTTATTTCTTTTTCCGGTTGAAAATTTTTTTAATGTATAATTTTTTTGTTTGTTTGCATTCAAACAACAAAAAGCTTTTTTTTCCCCTGTCATCATCAGCTACCTGTTGACATGACTGTTCATTTCGGAGTTCCTGCTTTTAAAACAAACAATGATAAAGTCAAAAAAGGACAGCTAACTCGATTTCGGCCCCTCTTTTTTTTCTGAAAGAATTTATGATTCAAAGCAGAGGTGGAAGAAATCACGGGCCCTCCAAGGCGCAACATGTCCGCCTTAGTCATCAGGCCTCTGAGATGAAATGAACCGCGTCTTTATGTGTCGATGTCATTTTTGTTCATTTTTCATTTGAAATTTTTTTTCGCAATTTTTTCATTAATCTATTAAAGCTGTAAACAGGATGTTATGAAAGCTGAGAGCCTCATTTGAGATTTCAAAACTTAGGGTACGAACAAAATTAATTCAACAGAGCTGAGCGCCGGCAACAGAGACGAGTTGAAAAAGGCCACATGGGAGGTCATTTTAGCGTAGGGTTCAGAATTTTTTATAAATATGCTCAAACAACTTTTGACGAACTGGGAATCGATCATACATAGTCGCAACCTGCACGAGCTTTTTGCTTTGGAGATATGATTTTTCAAAGTTTTTATCCTTAACCATGTAACGCCGTTTCGAAGGAATTTGCCCGCGCCACCAACCACTGAGTGGCAGCTAGGAGCGTGGTGCAGTGGCTGGCGTGTTAGCCTGCGGAGCCTATGAAGGTTCGAATCCTTTTGCCGCTAACTTCTTTTGCCATTACTTTTTTCAAGAACTCTGATGAATTAATAACGGTTGATTTTCACTGTGTCAATAGCCAATTTTAGCCTTATTTCTGCAGAAACATCTTTACGGAATATGAAAACTTACCCGTCATCCGAGTTTTATTGGAAAACAATTTCCAAACCCCATTTCCATCCAACTCCGGATGTTTTTTTTTTTCAAATTTTGAGAAATCCATACGGTTTTTGAGCAAAAAAGTTTTGAGAAAAGTTCTCTGATGATGTGAAGTCTGGCACAACTACAGAAATTTTTTTCATAATTTTTTTATCCAATTATAAAAAGCGATTTAAAAAAATGGCTATCGAACTTATTTGGATAGGTTTTACTCATAAAATTGTGGTACATTCATCAGAATTCTTGAAAAAAACACTGGCAAAAAAAATTTGCGGCAAAAGGATCCTTCATCATAGGCTCCGCAGGCTAACACGCCAGCCACTGCACCACGCTCCTAGCTGCCACTCAGTGGTTGGTGGCGCGGGCACATTCCTTCCAAACGGCGTCACATGGTTAAGGATAAAAACTTTGAAAAATCATATCTCCAAAACAAAAAGTTTGTGCAGGTTGCGACTATGTGGGATCGATTCCCAGTTCGTCAAAGATTGTTTGAGCAAATTTATAAATATTCTGAACCACACGCTAAAATGACCTCCCATGTCAGGGATGATTTTCGTGCCCTGATTCGGTTAAAAGAATGAGTTCTTACTTTATTCATTGCTATCCAGTTGACTTAAAATTTTCTGAAAAGCTTCAATGAACCCTTGTTACAGTATATACAAGTTTGCTGAGTTAGCTCGAACCGATATGCTGAATGCTTGTGGTAAAACTTATCTCGACCACCTGCGTGCGGCAGTCAATTATGTGCCGCTACGTTTTTGAGTTGCAGCTCATGCTATAAAAGATTTTTTCGAAAACTTTCTCGGTATTTTGTGACTGAAGACCTGTGAAATGATTTCAAAGAAAATTTGTTAGTTTCCGGTTCTCATTACGCGAATAGCGAATCTTTCATTTTGTCGCAGTAACTATTCCCCACCCTGTAGGAGCATAATAAGTTGATATTAAAATCAAGTTGATAACGGCACAAACTTATGGGCTCTTGCAAGAATATTCTTGACGCCTACATTTTCTGCAAAAACATGGAAATTTTATAGGATTCGGTTGGAAATGTCCGATTCGGATTGACAGGTCACTTCCTAAACAGAGGTAACTACAGAGTACCTCTCTGAAATAATTTGTCAGTGTCCAAAAGACTCACGACTTTTCCGCTCAAGATTGATCAACAAAAGTCTCGAATAAAAAATTTTTTCTACCCTTTCCTAGAAAATTTCTTCTCATTTGTGTCGGATGAGGTCTCGAAAAAGAGAATTTTTCTCTCTCTCCTAGAGAATTTCTTCTCATTTGTGAAGAAGCGGAGAAAAGAACTCTGAGTATGAGTACAGATCTTGGATAATTTCCAGAAGTAGAGATGAACTGATAAAATCAGACGTGAGAATTGAGGCGTATGGAAGTCGAAACGAAGAAGTCACTCCGTCATGAGAGTTTCTCTCGTCTTGCTGTTGGCTTTCGCCCTCGTCGTGAGTTTTTCTTTTGCAACGAAAAAGGTTTCTGCGTGTTCTCGAGGAAGTTTTTTTCAGGTTCCATCGGAGGAATTTTACATTTTCGAGGAATTCATTTTCAATCCTCTGAGGAGAGTCGGCCAAGTAAGAGACAAATCGAGAAATTTCCTGTTTAAACCAAAATTTTCCGGCGATTGGTATTTTCAAAAAACCTTCTCCTCCACCTGAACCTGAGCCTGGGTCTGGGTCAGAGATGGCTCGCGGACAAGGACCTTACAAGGGTCCCGCACAAGGAGCCAACACGCCGGCTCCTCGTGACAAAGGCAGCTTCCATGTAAGTCGACGAGGATAATTCGGAAATTTTGCTTTTTCTGAGAATTATATCTAGACACCACAAGCCACTTCTCGAAAAAAGCAATGCCTAGTCGATTCCAATATCATCTGATAGAACAGACTTCAAAAACTGATATTTTTCCAGTCGGAACTGCAAACCGCCTTCGTTCTCGCCTCCGCCAACTTCCTCCGCGTCGCTCTTTTCTAATCGGCTTTTTATTCGTCGAAAAAGAATAAAGCTTGATAATGAAGTAGAGCGAACTGTTCTCATAGGTTCTCAGGAAGTGGGCGAGAATGAAGCTGATTTCACGGTATGAACCAAAATTCAGGCCGCGTTCAAATTAATTCTGTGAAGGATTTGCAAGACGAAGGGGAACTGAATTTGAAGTTCGGAAACTGAAATTCAAGAAAAAACAGCGATAGGAATTCTGAAGTTGAAAAAAGGACTTCATATCGAAAAATCTCTAAAAAAAAAGAGAAAAATGAACTTTTTGAGAGACTAAAAAGGGAGGTCATTTTACTTTGCGGTTAAGATTTTTATGAAAATTGGCGAGCAAACTTCTCGATGTACCGGAAGACAATTCTGAAAGTCTCAGCCTGCACAACTTCTTAGTTTTCGAGAAAAGAGTGCTCGAAATCAAAGAAAATTCATTAAAACGGGCTATTTTGGGGTTTTAGGCCTTTATTTCTCGTAAAGTAGAAAGTTGGGAAAGTTGAACCTTGAGGATATTTTTTTGGTACAACAAGGATTGTTCTGGCTTATTACCAAGAAATTCCCACCCGCAAAGTAAAATGACCTTCCAAGAGAAAAATGGAACTGTGTGCAGTCGGAAATCAGCGAAATAAATATGAAAATGACTGGAAATTAACTAGAATGTCTGCAACAATTACTGTTTTTTTTTTAAATGATCCCGAAACTGACGTATGACGTTTTCTCGTGAATGTGAAAAAAAAGCAAGAAGAAGCGACGAAACAGTTATCAATCTTCCCTTCTTTTTTTTCATCACTTTAATCACTAACAAACGGAGAAAGGAGTATGGAAAGAATAATCAAATTTTAGTCTGATGCGTCAATTAGGAAAAATATCAGAGCTGGGTCCTGAAAAGTCTCACAACAATGGAGACAAAAATAGAATTCTTTGTATTTCTATTACATCGGTGGCACTTCATCTTTATCAACTACGATAGAGGTATTGCTTCGTACCTCCCCCAAGCATAACTCTGCTTGGAGCAAGCTGGTGATTTGGCGTTGGCCTCACCAGATTCCGATTAACTCGGATGGCTTTATGCCACGAAGTAGTACTACGATGGAGGTATTGCTTCGTACCTCCCCCAAGCATAACTCTGCTTGGAGCAAGCTGGTGATTTGGCGTTGGCCTCACCAGATTCCGATTAACTCGGATGGCTTTATGCCACGAAGTAGTACTACGATGGAGGTATTGCTTCGTACCTCACCCAAGCATAACTCTGCTTGGAGCAAGCTGGTGATTTGGCGTTAGCCTCACCAGATTCCGATGATTAACTCGGATGGCTTTATGCCACGAAGTAGTACTACGATGGAGGTATTGCTTCGTACCTCACCCAAAGCATAACTCTGCTTGGAGCAAGCTGGTGATTTGGCGTTAGCCTCACCAGATTCCGATTAACTCGGATGGCTTTATGCCACGAAGTAGTACTACGATGGAGGTATTGCTTCGTACCTCACCCCAAGCATAACTCTGCTTGGAGCAAGCTGGTGATTTGGCGTTAGCCTCACCAGATTCCGATTAACTCGGATGGCTTTATGCCACGAAGTAGTACTACGATGGAGGTATTGCTTCGTACCTCACCCAAGCATAACTCTGCTTGGAGCAAGCTGGTGATTTGGCGTTAGCCTCACCAGATTCCGATGATTAACTCGGATGGCTTTATGCCACGAAGTAGTACTACGATGGAGGTATTGCTTCGTACCTCACCCAAGCATAACTCTGCTTGGAGCAAGCTGGTGATTTGGCGTTAGCCTCACCAGATTCCGATTAACTCGGATGGCTTTATGCCACGAAGTAGTACTACGATGGAGGTATTGCTTCGTACCTCACCCAAGCATAACTCTGCTTGGAGCAAGCTGGTGATTTGGCGTTAGCCTCACCAGATTCCGATTAACTCGGATGGCTTTATGCCACGAAGTAGTACTACGATGGAGGTATTGCTTCGTACCTCACCCAAGCATAACTCTGCTTGGAGCAAGCTGGTGATTTGGCGTTAGCCTCACCAGATTCCGATGATTAACTCGGATGGCTTTATGCCACGAAGTAGTACTACGATGGAGGTATTGCTTCGTACCTCACCCAAGCATAACTCTGCTTGGAGCAAGCTGGTGATTTGGCGTTGGCCTCACCAGATTCCGATTAACTCGGATGGCTTTATGCCACGAAGTAGTACTACGATGGAGGTATTGCTTCGTACCTCCCCCAAGCATAACTCTGCTTGGAGCAAGCTGGTGATTTGGCGTTAGCCTCACCAGATTCCGATTAACTCGGATGGCTTTATGCCACGAAGTAGTACTACGATGGAGGTATTGCTTCGTACCTCACCCAAGCATAACTCTGCTTGGAGCAAGATGGTGATTTGGCGTTGGCCTCACCAGATTCCGATTAACTCGGATGGCTTTATGCCACGAAGTAGTACTACGATGGAGGTATTGCTTCGTACCTCACCCAAGCATAACTCTGCTTGGAGCAAGCTGGTGATTTGGCGTTGGCCTCACCAGATTCCGATTAACTCGGATGGCTTTATGCCACGAAGTAGTACTACGATGGAGGTATTGCTTCGTACCTCCCCCAAGCATAACTCTGCTTGGAGCAAGCTGGTGATTTGGCGTTAGCCTCACCAGATTCCGATGATTAACTCGGATGGCTTTATGCCACGAAGTAGTACTACGATGGAGGTATTGCTTCGTACCTCACCCAAGCATAACTCTGCTTGGAGCAAGATGGTGATTTGGCGTTGGCCTCACCAGATTCCGATTAACTCGGATGGCTTTATGCCACGAAGTAGTACTACGATGGAGGTATTGCTTCGTACCTCACCCAAGCATAACTCTGCTTGGAGCAAGCTGGTGATTTGGCGTTAGCCTCACCAGATTCCGATGATTAACTCGGATGGCTTTATGCCACGAAGTAGTACTACGATGGAGGTATTGCTTCGTACCTCACCCAAGCATAACTCTGCTTGGAGCAAGCTGGTGATTTGGCGTTGGCCTCACCAGATTCCGATTAACTCGGATGGCTTTATGCCACGAAGTAGTACTACGATGGAGGTATTGCTTCGTACCTCCCCCAAGCATAACTCTGCTTGGAGCAAGCTGGTGATTTGGCGTTAGCCTCACCAGATTCCGATGATTAACTCGGATGGCTTTATGCCACGAAGTAGTACTACGATGAAGGTCTTACTTGAAAGACCTCTGACCAAGCTACGACGCTGCTTGAAGCGGTTTAGTATAGCGGGATCACAAGGATCCGCAGAAGCATAGCTTCTGGCCCAAGTACGGGACTTTGACGACTTCAAGACCGATACGGGCTGTTCGGAAAACCGCTGGCTCTCCAGTGGAGAACCGATCGGCGAGGGAGCATGAAGTTTTTGGGAATGAGATACACTTCTCAGCAGAAACTGCTGTTTGTGTATCGCCACGTGATCTTCGAACACGTGGAAATTTTAAAACTTCAGTAGTGGACGCAAAGTGGGACAGCATGTGATCGTTTTGTAGTATTTGTACATGAAACAGAGTTCTTTGTATTTCTATCACATCAGTGGCACTTCAACTTTCACAAGAAAAAATAAATTAAATTAAATGAAAATTTGAAAAAAAAACGTGAATTCGGAATAGGGTCAGGAAGTGACGGCAGGAGATAATGGGTTGTGTTTAACAAAATCAAATGAAAATCGGAAATTTGGTTCGAAAATTAGCACAGAAAAACGGCTCTGCTTTTTCTTTTTCTGTTTCTGCTGTCATTCGTAACGAAACCTTATCAGTAGTTCGAATCTCGGATAATTCCAAAAGATAGAGATGAACTGATAAAAGTTGACGTGAGAATCGAGGCGTATGAGAGGATGAGATAGGTTGTCATTGAAACATGAAGCTGTGGCTCGCGTTGCTGGTGGCTTTCGCCCTCGTGGTGAGTTCTACGGATCTTAATAATCCACACTGAGGAACGCCAGAGTGGTCCTCAGAAGGCTAACCTTGTACCGTTCGAAGGTTCCCCTCTAGGGATCACATTATCTCTCCTAGAGGCGGACTAAAACTTGCCAAAGTGTAGGGGAGAATATGTCGTTCATTGTTGTTTCTCAGTGATCTAGGAGAAAATGCATTTCCGTGCGGGGTGATCATTTTCTCTAAATAATGTAACTTCGTGGACCACACTTGCTAGTTTAATATCTTTTTCTTAATCGGAAAATGATTTTTCGTTCCTCAATAATCTGAGCTATCTGGCTTCTTTCAGACCCCATCGGACGCGTTTCTCGGAGCTATATTTACCGCTGTTTCGGCTCTGGCAAGCCCAGTGCTTAATGTTCGTTTTGAAATTTTGTCAGGAAAAACCAAAAAATCTGTGTTTGTATGAGTGATTTTTTTCCTATCTTCAATATTTTTCAAATGAATGGTCGACAGAAACTCTTAGAGTACATTGCCGGTGGGTTGGAAGTTATACGAAACACAGAAAAAAAAGCCGCTTACGAAATACGAGAGCAAACTTCGAGTTTATTTTTGATCTTTTGAAGTTTTTATATCTCAATAGATCTCTTCTTGCGTATTTCTGCAGAATTCCTCCAGTCCTGAATAAAAACAAAGAGTTTAAAAACTGCGTCATATATCCGTTGGGATGGGAAGGTTGCCCCAAACGTGGGACCTTTCGGACAGGACAGCAATACTTCACTTCGAACTTCAGCTGTTCGGAGTAGGTAGCCGGCCTTCTCCATCGCCCGACCCTCCTAGTGCTCCTTCGCCGCCCGGGCCTCCTGGCCCTCCTGGTCCGCAGGGCTCTGCTCCCACACAACGCAGTGCCAGCTTCCAAGCAAGTCAAACCGTGTTAAAAATCATAGAGCAAGGTTCCCCGGAAATAGTTTTCGGACCAAGAATCAAAATTTCTCAGAAACACCTTTTCTCACCAGGAAACAGCTGAAAATCGTGAATTTATGAGAACTTGAAATATAAAAAACCAAAGAAGTAATTTTTTAAATGAAACAAAAAGTTTCAGAAAGCCCAAAAAATTCATGTGAAGCTGAAAACCTGCCAAGTTAGGTGTTTTCTGAACTTGCCTTATAATGATTTTTGTACATTCATTTAGCAAAAACTCATGTCTCACGATTATCAACTTTTTCCGAAGTCGCCTTTCAAAAATCAGAAATGGATTCAAATAACCAACTTTCCAAGAATCTTTCAAGCTATTCTGAGCAATAACGTTAAAATGTTTATAAGTAAAGACTCTTCGTGTTCAAAATGTTCGAAAAAAGGAAAAACTTAGAATATATTGTTCAAAGTCAATTTTTTCTGACTCGGCGAGAGAAGCAGAGATGGGGGCATTGCGCGTAGCGTGAGCGTTCGCGCTTTTTGGCATGAGTGCCAAATAGTAAAGGAGACACAAAAAGCGGTGACCGGGCTTTTCGAAGAATCGAAGGCGCTCGAATTGAGCTCTTGCCAAGAACCGCGAACGCGCACGCCACGCGTCCCGCCTCTTTCTCCGCCTCCCTCGCGTTTCAAGTCGTGAAGAATTGTAACGTCTCCTTCATGACATCTTTTCTACAAACGGCGCAAGTCACGTCTTTGAAAACTCTCTGCAAAAAACTATCTCTGCCAAACGGAATTCTGTCTTATCGCGAATAACCTTTCGTTTTCAGTTCAATTCTCACGGCCTCTTCGCCATCATCCTGGCAGATATCATCCGTGCCGCTCTTTTCTAAACAACTGTCAAACGATAAATATTGATATTTGGATCGAAATATTTCTAACAAGCCTGATATCGTCTTCTTGAAGAAGGTGTTCCGAACTAGAAAGTTTGAATTATGAATATAGCTTCGGAACATGACGTCACTGAATGTCTCAGGAATAATGATTGATCGAAATGTTGTATTGAAAATTTTGGTCGAAATGATGATTGATCGAAATTTTGTATTCATTATATAGGTCGAAATATCACTCAAGCAAAATGTTGAAATCCAATGATTGATCATTAATGTAGGGACCGCATGCAGTTTTCTAGAAACCATTAGATTTCAATAATTTTCATATGGCCGTGTGGTCCATAGTCCTGACAACTTTAAAAAAAAGAGATCTTGGAAAAATATTGACTCTGAACGAAGTTACAGCCATTAAAGCGCGCGTTTCGCGATTTCAGTTCTCTGTAGAAAATTTGGTCGAGGTCGCGAAAAAAGTGGGCGTTGCAAGGGTGCGGCGCGGTCTCAAAGACCAGTAAAAAAAAAGTTAGAGAAAAAGTTTCTTGTTAATTTTTTTCGCACTAAAACACAGTAATGATGGTTTTTCATTATTGGAAATGAAACAACAATGTCTAAAGATGAGGACCAGCAAAAATAAACACTGAAAAAAAAAATAATTTGAACGATTTTCAGCGGCAAAAAAAGCAAAATTAATATTTACGGAGTTTTCAATGCTTTTAATGTTCAAAACTGTTAAAATACCATCAGGAAGCAGATATAAACGCAAAATCTCCCTGAAACAAGATTCGATACAGAATTCAGAACCGATAAAAGGTTGTGAATCCATAGAAACACAAATAAATTAATTATTAATGACTTTTATATTCATTTTTGTAGCACTTCGGTACTTTTGAATGCGCTCAACTCATTAAAATTCACATTTGAGTACTATTCAGGTGAATTTCCCAAATTTGAACGCGTTTTCCAGTGAAGTCCTGATAGTGGGAGTTTGGCGCGACTAATATAATTTTTTGTTCTGGAAAAGCATGTGAAGTTTCATTTTGTTATCCAAAGTACATTACTGAACGTTTTGACTCATTTCAAAAAAGTTTTACGCTATTTTTGCTTTGAAAACATCGCGAATTCGGAATTTTCGCGGGTCGTTGAATGCACAATTTCGCCAACGCGCAAATGCAGGACGCTGTTTTTTTATTGTTCGAATGAATCAAATTTTGAAAGCACAAGCAGGATTTTTTTCATTTTTTTGAATATGTTAAAGAAAAAAAGTAAATAAAATCAAAAAAAGAAAAAAATAACTTGCCTACGACTGTTTAGACATGTGTTTCAAAAAAATCAAAAAAATCAAAACTTATTTTTAAAATTAAGATTGAAATAAAAGTTTTGTTTTGCCTTTTTAAAATGTTCTAAAATTTATAGAGAGCAGTTCAAAAACAATTTTTACGATGTTTCGCGGAAAATGCCAAAGTTCCCGAATTTCGAAATTTGCGATTTTCCGACGCTTCGATATTTGAAAGCACAAGCAGGAATCTTTTTATTTTTACTTATATGGTGTATTTTTACATGCTTAACAAAATAAGAAAAAAAAAAATAACTTGCCTACGAGCGGGATTGTAAGTATTCAACGTTTTTCCACTTTTTCGCACAAAGGCGTCGCGAAAAAACGTCATTTTAACCGATTCTTTTTTATTTACTGTTATTTATTCTATGTAAAATTGTAGAGCGTAGCCGATTGTATGTTTCCCTGAATTTTTTCCCAAAACGGTTCAGGGAAACTGCATAAACAACAATGAAATGTCAAAAATGCAACGAAATATACGACGTTTTTTGGTCAGCGAGGGGGTGTGGCCTTGCGGTCCCTACATTAATGTGATCAAAAACTGACCTAACAAACGATCTCTCGAAAAATGACATGTTATCATCTGGTTGAACAGTGACATGTCAACAGTTTAATCAATTGAAATGGTTGAATGATCGGTTTGGTGAACTCTAGTGTCCAATCATACTTTCAATGTGATGAAAAAAAGGCCACTAACCGGACGACCACCCATAAGATCGGCTTCATATCAAGTAACAAAAAAGGATAACTAGGAAGGATCGAAAAAAGATCGCTTAAGAACTCGACAAAAATTCGCAGACTTCGAGGCTTACTGTATCTTTTATGATGAAGGGAATTTATTTATTTTTTTGCCTTTTGAGCCGAATGACGGCACTTAAATTCAACTTTCTGCTAATTTTCCTCAAATTGTCAAAAACTAAAAGCACTCGTGACTTTTTCGCCCAAGGTTCATCGGATGAGGTCTCGAAAAAAAGAATTTTTCTCTCTCTCCTAGAGAATTTCTTCTCATTTGTGAAGAAGCGGAGAAAAGAACTCTGAGTATGAGTACAGATCTTGGATAATTTCCAGAAGTAGAGATGAACTGATAAAATCAGACGTGAGAATTCAGGCGTATCGAAGTCGAAACGCAGAAGTCAGTCCGTCATGAGAGTTTCTCTGGTCTTGCTGTTGGCTTTCGTCCTCGTCGTGAGTTTTCCTTTTGCAACGAAAAAGGTTTCTGCGTGTTCTCGAGGAAGTTTTTTTCAGGTTCCATCGGAGGAATTTTACATTTTCGAGGAATTCATTTTCAATCCTCTGAGGAGAGTCGGCCAAGTAAGAGACAAATCGAGAAATTTCCTGTTTAAACCAAAATTTTCCGGCGATTGGTATTTTCAAAAAACCTTCTCCTCCACCTGAACCTGAGCCTGGGTCTGGGTCAGAGATGGCTCGCGGACAAGGACCTTACAAGGGTCCCGCACAAGGAGCCAACACGCCGGCTCCTCGTGACAAAGGCAGCTTCCATGTAAGTCGACATCCCAGTCATTGTTTCAGAGGAAAATTGAGAGAACTCCACTTTGAGTTATCCTCTGGGAGATAAATTAAAAGTTTTAACGGAAACAAACTTGCATTTTCAGCTCAACTCTCACGGCCTCTTCGCCATCACCGTGGCGAATACCATCCGCGCCGCTCTTTTCTAATCAACTGTCATTGTTCCTCGAAAACAATAAATATTGAAATTTGGACCGAAATACTACTAACAAGCCTGATATCGTCTTTTTGTATAAGAGCTAGAAAGTTGAATTATGATTGTAGCTTCCGAACAAGACGTCTTCAAATGTCTCAGATTCTTGAGAAAAACCAAAAAAAAACCTCCAGTTGGTAGCGGAGTGCTCTCCAAAGGACATTCTCCTTTTTTTCATCATCATCATTTATTCAATACCATTAATAAAACAGTTCAAGGGGCCGAAAAGATCTCTAACAAAACCAATTTTCAAAAAGGGGAATTTTAACATTGAAAACAGCAACAAACCGTTTAAAAACTAGAAGATATTTTAAGAAAGTCAGCGAAAAAATGGGGGTTGTTTTCTAAATAAATTGTGAATCGCATCGAATCATTACATAGATCAAACACAAAATCGGGAAGGGAGTTCCAAAGATTGATTATTCTAATACTAAAAAACGAGGTAACGATGTTACTATTATGTCTCATATTTGAACGTAAATATTAACGATGGCGACGCAGCGCATCTGCCAGTAAAGCACTCCGAAATCCCAAAACGGTGTCCAATCATACTTTCAATGTGATGAAAAAAAGGCCACTAACCGGACGACCACCCATAAGATCGGCTTCATATCAATTAACAAAAAAGGCTAACAAGGAAGGATCAAAAAAAGCTTGCTTAAGAACTCGACGAAAATTCGCAGACTTCGAGGCTTACTATATCATTCATGATGAAGGGAATTTATTTTCTTTTGCCTTTCGAGCCGAATGACGGCACCTAAATTTACCTTTCTGCTAATTTTCCTCAAATTCTCGAGAAATGTAGTCTGTGTAACTTCCCCGAACGATGCGCTGTTCCGCTGTGAGCGTTCACGAAGCGTCTTTCGACTCTAGGTCACACAAAAGCGCGCAGCGGCACAGCGGAATGTCGTTTGGTGAAATTCCAAGCCGTGCAGGTTTCAACTTGCAAAAATAATAGCCCTCGCGAGTTTTTCGCTCACACTGGAGGTAATTTTACTTTGCGGTTGTGATTTTTCTGATACCGTGTTCAATTTGATTCCGCGAAATGCAGGATGACCTCTGACTCTCCAAAATTTAGTGATTTTTTCCTTGCTCTAACAAACATTTTACATTTCGCGGAATCAAATCGAACACGGCATGAAAATTGGTCAGAACGCTCTTTGATGTACCAGAAAACATTTCTGAAAGTTTCAACTTGCAAAAACTCCTAGTGTTTGAGAAAGAACACCTGAAAGTCGAAGAAAACTCTCGAAATCCGTTAAAATAAGCCAATTTGGGGCTTTGAGCCCTCAGTTCTCGAAAAGTCGAGAGTTGTACATGTCGAAACTTCCAGTATATAATTCTGGTACATCAAAGAGTGTTTGGGCCAGTTTTCAAGAAATTCCCAAACGAAAAGTGAAATGACTTCCCTTGTCAAGATCTATCGAATGCAGTCTCGAAGAAAAGGATTTCAGCATCACTTGAAAATTTCCTTATCATATGTGACGAAGCGAAGGAAAAGCTTCAGAGTACTTCTCTCCTACGTCAAATTTTCAAATGTGTTCGGATAATTTCCAGAAGTAGAGATGAACTGATAAAATCAGACGTGAGAATTCAGGCGTATCGAAGTCGAAACGCAGAAGTCAGTCCGTCATGAGAGTTTCTCTCGTCTTGCTGTTGGCTTTCGCCCTCGTCGTGAGTTCTTCCTCAACTTGACTTTTTTCCGTCTCTTCCGCCTCGTTAGGACGATGCTCTTCCCGATTAGGTTGTATGATCATAATAACTCGAGTCGTCGTAAAGCCTCCGGTTTGAGGTCTCAAAATTCATTGAAAACCCTAGAAAGTTATATCTGCTCTGTTTTTCGCGCTCATTTCGTCCAGTCAACCTTTCTCGATAGTGACAAAAAGCCAGATGAAAACTGGTCAGTTCTTCCAAATAAGTCCTTTTTATCGTACGGAAGACTTGAATGATTGAATCCGAAGGTTTGATGAGTCGAATGGAAACGGTTTTCGAGTTCCTAGTACGTATTGGATTTCTATGAAACCAGAAAAGACGAACTTGATATGAATTCTGTTTCAGGTTCCGACGGAAGCATTTCTCGAAATCCTTTCAGACTTATTCGTGAAGCCTCTCGTGAGAATGGGCCAAGCAAGAATAAATTTTGAAATAAAAGATGGCAAACCAATAAATTCAGGCAATCGGGATAGTCAAAACGCCACCTCCTCCTGAGCCTGAGCCTGAGCCTGCGTTGCCGCCCCAGATGGCTCCCGGACAAGGACCTTACATGGGTCCTCCACAAGGAGCCAACACACCGGCTCCTCGTTCTAAGGGCAGCTTTCATGTAAGTCGGCGAGGAATTTCGCAAAATTTAGCTTATTCTAGGACAACATTCAAAAAAAAAAATGATATTTTTCCAGTCGAAACTGCAAACCGCCTTCGTTCTCGCCTCCGCCAACTTCATCCGCGTCGCTCTTTTTTAGTCGGCTTTTTATTCGTCGAAAAAGAATAAAAATTTGAAATCGGAGCAAAGCGAACTGTTTTCATAGTTCTTCGCACATGAAAGAAAAAAAATGAAGCTGACTATACGGTTTAAACCGAAACTAAAGCCGCGTTCAAATCATTTCTGAAAACAGTTTGCGAGACGAAGGGGAAACTGGATATTAGGCAGCCGGAAATCAGCGAAATGAATATCAAAAAGACATGAAAAAAATTAGAGCGCCTGAAACTGTTACTTCGAGATGATTTCGAAGCTGACGTTGAGACTTGAAAAAGTTAACCGAGAAGTACGAAAAAGCTTTTTTTTTTTTTAATTGATTGTTTTTCTTTTTTCTTTTTATCCATATAATTCCAAACGGAGAAAAAGGTTTGGAAAAAATGATCACATCTTTGTCTGATACGTCCATTGAGAAAAATTACGGAGCTAGGTCGTGAAGTGGCTAAAATAGTGGAGACAAAAATAGAGTCTAGTATGTCTAATTAATTAGTGGCACTTCAACTGATTCAATAAACAGAAGAAAAAATTGAATTAAAAAAATTAAAAAACCATGAATTCTGAAAGAGGTCAGGAAGTGACGACAGGGGATATTGGTTTGTGATTTCACGAAATAAAGTGAAAATCGGAAATTTGGTTCGAAAATTAGCACAGAAAAACGGCTCTGCTTTTTCTTTTTCTGTTTCTGCTGTCATTCGTAACGAAACCTTATCAGTAGTTCGAATCTCGGATAATTCCAAAAGATAGAGATGAACTGATAAAAGTTGACGTGAGAATCGAGGCGTATGAGAGGATGAGATAGGTTGTATTTGAAACATGAAGCTGTGGCTCGCGTTGCTGGTGACTTTCGCCCTCGTGGTGAGTTCAACGGATCTTAGTAATCCACACTGAGGAACGCCAGAGTGGTCCTCAGAAGGCCAACCTTGTACCGTTCGAAGGCTTCCCTCTAGATATCACATTCGGATTCGGACTTTTTAGCCATTTTTCGTCTACTCACAAGAACCTGATGCTTTGATTAAAAAAAGTCCAGGCGTTTGGGGGTTCTACGGTATTTTTTCTACAGTAAGCCTGAAAGAGGGCGGGGCCTAATGGAGCCTAATTCTAAATATTTAAAAGGTTGTTCACTATCTATGATAGCAAAGAGAGCTCTCAGGAACAAAGATGAACTTTTTGTACCAACGGTTATTCGAAAATCTCGGAGAACGTTTATTCAATAGAAAACATGTTTTTTGAGAATATTTTCAGGTTCCATCTGCTCGTGCTGGCATTACAGATAGGATCACCAGTTTGATAGACGTTGCACTTTTTTCGAGTACATTGTGAAAACCAAGGTTTCCAGATGTGTACGTTTGGCTATTTGCCTATTTTTCGACCTCCACCTCGACCTCGACCTCCACCTCGACCTCCACCTCGACCTCCACCTCCACCTACAAATGTTGCTCCTGAGCTCCCGCCTCCATTGCCTCCCGGACAAGAATCTAACAAGGATGCCGGAAAAGAACCTAGCATAGATCCAGGAAAAGGAGCAAAGACACCGGCTTCTCGGGAGAAAGGCAGCTTCCAAGTAAGTCGGCGAGCAAATTCGAAAAATTGTTTCACTTGAACGTGAGAGAAGATTTGGAAATTAGATGAATTGGACAACAAACTCTAATCTACCGAAACATTAGGAATTTTCCAAAAACTGATATTTTTCCAGTCGAAACTGCAAACCGCCTTCGTTCTCGCCTCCGCCAACTTCCTCCGCGTCGCTCTTTTCTAATCGGCTTTTTATTCGTCGAAAAAGAATAAACTTTGAAATTGGAGGGAAGCAAACTGTTTTCATGGATTCTCAGGAAGTGGGAGAGAATGAAGCTGATTTCACGGTATAAATCGAAACTCAGGCTGCGTTCAAATTACAGGGGTGGGCATAAATATTGCACGGCTTTTTCGATCATTCCAACTTTCTTTTTTGCCAATGGTATTTCAATCAGTTTTTTTTTTGGTTTTACGCTTTGTGAACCGTCGCTGGTTCTCCCACCAAGATTTTAGGTCAAGCTGCAAGTCCCGAGCTGAGCAAGACCCGTGCGAGTCCAATCTGCCCGATTCCAACACGGTCAAGGAATGGACCGGCTACTCACCAGATTCGAAACCCTTGACAATTCTGCATATTTATATTTGAAGTTGAAGGCCTGAACAAGACTATTTCAACCGGGACATGCTGATGGTCTCCATCATCAAGAATAGATGACAAGATCGATCTGTGTCCAAGGGTCGAATATTTTTTCGAGAGAGTCAAGGCGCTCAGTGAGGCCAATGAAAGTCGGAGCGAAAGTTGAATTATATGTGCTATAGCTGATTCACGGCTGGCTTGAGCCATCAAAGGGTCCTGCCACGAAAAGAGACGAGACAGTGCCCTGGTTGGTGGAGAGTGCAGACAGGCCACGCCTTTTTGCGTCCCAAGCTAGCCGTGAATCGTCTATAACTTGGATACTTTGCCGATAAAAAAATTCAGAAAATCTTGTTTGAATCCGTTCCACTTGAGAGTAACGGAATTTTAAAGACCGTGCAATATTTATGTCCACCGCTGTATTTCTGAAAAGGCAAGGAGGAGCCTGAGCAACCGGGGCTCGAGTCTTGCTGCATTGTGTATTTTCATCATTTATCGATTGGAAAATATTTTCAGGTCTCATCCGCTCGATCTGGCATTATTGATGGAATAGAATACTTTCTCCGAAAGTTCCTTTCGTCTGAATAGTTGCCCTTCTTTTGCAAAGGACAATAACTTCTGTTTCAAATCAAATCATTTATTTTGTTGTTTTAGTCATAGATGTAATCGACTAGGCGGTTAACAAGAACTTTAAAAGCTATAACGAACAACCGCCTTTGGCGAACTAGAAGTCCAAACGTGTAGTCGAAAGAGTTGAAAGCATGGTCTTACGGTCCTTCGCATCGTTCTTCTGCGCGTAGTTCATCCAGTTGCGCCTTGACGAGCTCAGAATGTAGTGGGTGGTGTAGCTGGAGCCCGGAGACCGTGCTCTAGGTGGAAGCCTCAGAATGAGAGCGACCACTTCGAGTGAAGATTTTACACGGAATTCTCAGTTTTGCAGTGATCCTGCTGCATCCCCTGCTCCTGAGCCTGTAACTCAAGCACAAGCGACCAAGCATACTTCCTAGGTTGGTCACAAAAAAGAAGTAAAGCAAAAAACCGGAGAATGTACGAAACAGAATATGAGTCCGTGAAGATCGGTAAGGAGTTCAATTGACTCACAGACTTGTACGTTGGGCTGGCCCGGGCTTAATCTCATTACGCCATCACCCTTTGGGTAAGACGAGACCCTTCTCAAGGCAGATTGTTACAAACCCTTTTCTACCAATATCGAAAACCATTTCAATAAAAATCAAAACTCACTCTTTTTTCCAGTTCAGCCCGATCAACTCGGAGTCCTCGCCATGTTCTTGACCAACGCCGCCGCGGCGGATTTTTTCTTAACTTCTTTTTTTTTCTACTGACAATAAGAGTTGCGAAAAAAAAATGTTTCTATGTCTTCAATGAGTGATGGTTTGAGAATCAAGGATTTCACTCGATTGAAAGGGATCTCAGAAGGAATTATTTTACCTAGGCAATTTCCCCATAGAAACCCTTAGATTTCAGTAATTCCCATATGATTGATGTATTAATAGTTCCAACAAATTTTAAAAAAGACCGACTATGACCTTTCTGAATCTTCATCTGGTACATCAAGGAGTGTTCTGGCCAATTTTCAGCAATTTCCTAAACCAAAATAGAAATGACTTTCTTCTCAGGAAGGTTTTCAAAGTGGGGCGGAGCTTAGAAAATAATTCAAAAGTCAATATCCCAAATGATGTATGTATAGAAGCTTTTCTTCCGGGATACAAAAAAAATTTGAAAAAGAGGCGGAGCCTAAATAAAGACATCAAATTCGGTATTCTTCAAAAAAATGGGCGGAGCTTGGGCTATGACGTCATTATGAAAAGAAAATTATGCCAATTAATGAAAGTACTGTAGGAACTTCGATAAAACCTTTTATATAGATTTGAAGCAACTTTTCGAAATTTCACGGAATTGATAGCCCACAAAAAGGGGCGGAGCCTAGGCTATGACGTCCTTATGAAAAATATCGCGCAAAATAATAAAACTACTTAAAAATTCAAATGAATGATTTCATACAATTTTGAAAAGATTTTTCGAAAATTTAGAAATTTGATAGATTACAAAAAGGGGCGGAGCTTTGGCTATGACGTCATCATGAAAAAAAAAATCATGCCAATTAATGAAAATACTGTAGAAGCTTAGATAAAACCTTTTATACGGATTTGAAGCAACTTTTCAAAAATTCACGAAATTGATAGTCCACAAAAAAAGGGGCGGAGCCTAGGTTATGACGTCATTTCGAACAATTACCGCACAAAGTAATAAAAATGAATAAAAAAATCCAGATGAACGATGTCATAAAATTTTTGAAAAAAATTTTTTTCAAAAAAATTTTTAAAATTTGATAGCTTACAAAAAAAGGGGCGGAGCTTGAGCTATGACGTCATTGTGAGAAAAAAAATCATGCCGAATAATGAAAACAGTGTAGAAGCTTCGATAAAAACTTTACTAGAACCAAATTTTCAAAAACTCAAGGATTTGATAGCCTACAAAAAAGGGGCGGAGCTTCGACAATGACGTCACGAGATGAGAAAAACATTAATCACAAAGATAAAGCTTATCAATGACTCAAAACGAGCTGCCGGCGACAAAAGGAGGAAAGAAAAAGTGGGGCGGAGCCTGAGGATTTCTGGGTACCGGAAAGAGATTGACGTTCGATTCCCTTATCCGTGGGGCGAAAAATGAGCAAAACCTCGAAATCAACCTACATCAGCGTTGGGGAAAAGACGGGAAAAAATAAAATAATTGAGCGATTTCCGTCGCGCGTTTTGCGTCAAATTTTCGACGGAAATTCGAGCGGAGATGGAAAATATTGGGGGGAAATAGTGATTTTTGCAAACTGTTCAATTTTCCAAGAGAAGTCCAGAAGCTCAAACTTTTCGAAAATTGAAAAAAAATAATTTTCCTCGCTTCAAAGTTGAGATTAGTTGAATTACAAAATATGAGCAAGGAAGGTGTAAAATGAGCAATACACAAAAAGGAGGCGGAGTTTCAAGAAAACCCACTCAAGTAATTGATTCAGAAACATGATTTGATTTTTGAGAAAGTACAAAAAAAAGAGGCGGAGCTAAAATATATGACGTCATCAGATCACCATGACGACGTTAGTTTAAACTTATTTGAAAATAATAAAATTGAGGTAACGGGAGATAAAAAATCGGAAATGGGCGGAGCTAAAACTTGTGACGTCATCAAAAAAATAAATAAATCAGAGCACGAAAATTTGAAAATCGAAAAGAGGCGGAGCTGAAACTTATGACGTCATCAAGAAATTCAATAAATCATTGAAGCAGGACAGAAAATTTGAAAAATCGAAAAGGGGCGGAGCTAAGACTTATAAAGTCATCAAGAAATTCAATAAATCAATAAAGCAGAGAAGAAATTTTGAAAATCAAAAATGGGCGGAGCTAAAACTTGTGACGTCATCGGGAAAATCAAAAAATCAATAAATCAATAAAGGAGAAGAGAAGAATTTGAAAATCGAAAAGGGGCGGAGATAAAACTCATGACGTCATCAAGAAAATCAATAAAGCGGAAGAGAAAAAATTTGAAAATGGGCGGAGCTAAAACTTATGACGTCATCGAAAAATCAATAAATCAACAAAGGAGAAGAGAAGAATTTGAAAATCGGCAATGGACGGAGCTAAAACTTATGACGTCATCGGGAAAATCGAAAAATCAATAAAGCAGAGAAGAAAATTTGAAAATCGAAAAGGGGCGGAGCTAAAACTTATGACGTCATCAAGAAATTCAATAAATCAATAAAGCAGAGAAGAAAATTTGAAAATCGAAAAGGGGCGGAGCTAAAACTTATGACGTCATCAAGAAATTCAATAAATCAATAAAGCAGAGAAGAAAAATTTGAAAAATCGAAAAAGGGGCGGAGCTAAAACTTATGACGTCATCAAGAAATTTAATAAATCAATAAAGCAGAGAAAAAAATTTGAAAATCGAAAAGGGGCGGAGCTAAAACTTATGACGTCATCAAGAAATTCAATAAATCAATAAAGCAGAGAAGAAAATTTGAAAATCGAAAAGGGGCGGAGCTAAAACTTATGACGTCATCAAGAAATTCAATAAATCAATAAAGCAGAGAAGAAAATTTGAAAATCGAAAAGGGGCGGAGCTAAAACTTATGACGTCATCAAGAAATTCAATAAATCATTGAAGCAGGACAGAAAGTTTGAAAATCAGAAACGGGCGAAGCTAAAACTTGTGACGTCTGCGAGCAAATTAAAAAAGCAGAGCAGAAAATTTGAAAATCGGTAGAGGGCGGAGCTAAAAGTTATGACGTCATCAAATAAAAAAATCAATAAAGCAGAGGAGCAAATGGGCGGAGCTTCAAAAGAGTGACGTCATGGCTATTTTTGGGAAATCTCCAGATTTCCTAGTCTGAGTCATTCAAAAATGAAAAAAGCAAAATTTTCGAAATTTTCGAATTAAAAATGGCTTACCATCATCGTTTAGGGATTTTTTGCTCAAAATCTTTGCCATGATTATCATTCGCCCCGTCGTGGATTTGGTTAATCAGGCAGAAAGAAGGGTGTCTGCAAAGTGCGGACACTTTTTGTCCAGGGAAAAATGAATAAATTCTACAAAAAATCAAT